TCGGCCTCTCGATGAAGGCGAGTTCCTGCAGGTCCTCCAGCGGTCCGAACAGCAGGCTGGACTGGTTCCCAGTCATCCTGCTGGAGAACATCTGCTCACTGGGAACCAGTTCCTCACTGGTTGTTCCTCACTGGTTGTTCCTCACTGGTTGTTAGTGGGAGAACTTCACCATGAGGGGGGCGGCGGGGGTTACTGTCACTAACCGTTTCCAAGGAGATCCCTGCTCGAGCTGTCCAGGGCGGAGGGGACGTCACGCCAGACTCCGTTCAAAAAGAGAGTAATTAAAAAAAATCTTCGCTTATCTGCAACTCAAGCAACGTGAGAGTCTCACAGTGAAAAGCCCGGCGTTTTATCAGCGTCAGTTCTTCTGTTCGGCGCACATTTCTCCCTCCGACGGACGATTATTTATGTCAAATCTCCACTTTTCTGTCAAACATCTGTTAAATAGAAATTGTGTGTGAGCTCGTTATGAGAGCAGGGAGCGGATCCTACAGCCAGCCGACCATCAGCTGAGCCGTTCCCAAACCTGACCGGCTCGCTCCTACACGGGTAAAACGTTAGGCCAGACTCTGTTTTAAAAAATACCGTTTTAACGCTTTCCCCCACGCTAGTTAACTCAGCAGTCGGTTACAGCTGAAACCCTAAGATGTTCAGACATCAAACACAACACTTTTCATTTCGGCGAATGTTCAGAACATCCCACAGCATTTATTTCACTGATATACATCCAAACATCGTCCTGTTTGGTCCTGTTACGCCAGATTCAGTTCAGAACTTCCATTACAGAATTCCTTTACTACTTAATGAGAGTGAGAATCAGAAAACCCTTAAAAATCAAACGTCTAACAAATCCACACGATGTCCTCTTTACCTCGGCGTACAGCCAGCACACCAACAAACTCTTCTTTCAATGAAATCCAACCTAATCCAGCCGCTTCAACCGCTCCGTCCTGTGCGGTAGGAACGTCACGCCGAACTGCGTTAAAATGTTAGCGCTATAATGCGTCTGTGCTCATTTGTGAATCTGGCAATCCGTAAGACCGTGAGAACATTTTACATTAGAAAAATGAGTCTGAGCCACTTGTTTCGGCCTACAGTGAGGACACCAACGAGCAATTATGTCAATAAAATGTCGATATTTGTGAACCCAGGTCCGTGTAGTCGCTCCCACACGGAGGGCGGTACCACGCGGTGTCAAACATTAGGGAAGTTGAGAGTTCATCTGTATGAAAACCTCTTGGTGGATTTTCTCTAACCAGATTTCACCATCAGATCCCACAGAACGCATTACACCGTCGGTCACCGCCCGCACTTCATATGAATCCAGATGGTTTGTGAATCGGTAGAATTGTCAGGAATTTGAATGGAGATTGGTGGAGAAGCAGTGAGTCCGCAGCTGCTGTTAGTGTCTTTATATAGTGACTGACCTGCTGCCGCACACCGGAGGCTAAACCCAGCTCACCGGGCCGGAACCGGACTGAAACCGTACCAGAACCGGAGGATGTGCGGCGGAGGGCGGGCTAGCAGTAAGCTAACGCCCGCACTGCAGTAGCCGAACCGGTCTCCATGGAAACGACTGGATGGAGGCCCCAAACCCATTCACAAAGTGACCATTAACTGGATATACAGTAATGTTTATTGATTATATATTAATGTTTATTGATTATATATTAATGTGTATTGATTATATATTAATGTGTATTGATTATATATTAATGTGTATTGATTATATATAAATGTTTATTGATTATATATTAATGTTTATTGATTATATATTCATGTGTATTGATTATATATTAATGTATATTGATTATATATAAATGTTTATTGATTATATATTAATGTGTATTGATTATATATAAATGTTTATTGATTATATATTAATGTTTATTGATTATATATTCATGTGTATTGATTATATATTAATGTATATTGATTATATATAAATGTTTATTGATTATATATTCATGTTTATTGATTATACATTCATGTCTATTGATTATATATTCATGTTTAGGGTTAAAAGTTTAGTCCTTAAATCAGATAAAGTAATTATTGTAGGTGATTTTAATATGCATGTGGATGTTGACAATGACAGCCTTAGTAATGCATTTATATCATTAATAGACTCAATTGGCTTCTGTCAGAGTGTAAATAAACCAACTCATTGTTTTAATCACACTCTTGACCTTGTTTTATCATATGGCATTGATATTGAACATTTAATAGTTTTCCCACATAATCCTTTCCTATCTGACCATTATTTAATAACTTTTGAATTCATACTATTAGATTATAAGCCATTAGGCAAAACTTCCTACAGCAGATGTCTATCTGACAGTGCTGTAGCTAAATTTAAGGAGGAGATTCCTTCAGTGTTTAATTCAATGCCATGTCTGAATTTAACAGAGTCCTATAACGACTTTAGTCCCTCTGAAATTGATAATCTTGTCGATAGCGCTGCAGGCTCACTACGATCAACATTAGACTCTATCGCTCCGATAAAAAGGAAATTATTAAAACATAGGAGACTAGCACCTTGGTATAACCACCAAACCCGCCAGTTAAAACAAATAGCTAGGAAATCTGAAAGGAAATGGCGCTCTTCCAAATTATCAGAATATTGCTGAATTTGGCAAGATAATCTTAAAACTTATAGAAAGGCCCTCCGTAATGCCAGAGGAGCCTATTACTCAGCACTAATAGAAGAAAATAAGAATAACCCTAGGTTCCTCTTCAGCACTGTAGCCAGGCTGTCAGAGAGTCACAGCTCTATTGAGCCACATATCCCCATAAACTTAAGTAGCAACGACTTCATGAGCTTCTTCTATAATAAAATTATTACTATTAGAGAGAAAATTAATCACCAACTGCCATCAACAGTTATCAGTGGCTCTCCAAGTTCAGGGACTTTAACTAATGTAAAATCATATATATATTTAGACTGTTTTTCTGCTATTGATCTTCATCAGTTAACTTCAATCATTTCTACATCGAAGCCATCAACCTGTCTATTAGACCTGATCCCAACTAGGCTGCTTAAAGAAGTTGTTCCATTAATTGGCACTTCTTTACTGGATATGATTAATCTTTCTTTATTATCAGGATATGTACCACAGTCCTTTAAAGTAGCTGTAATTAAACCCCTTCTTAAAAAGCCCACTCCAGGGGTTTTAGCCAACTATAGACCAATTTCTTTTTTTTTTAGAATCACATATCAACACTTAACACATTCTGCATAGTTTGATAGAAATATGCATTGATTCATCTTTACAATTTTTTTTTTTAAATATACAAATATGAACAGAACATGGGGTGTTTCAAAATGGCAAAAAGAAAAAAAAACATACTAAGAAGAGAATAAAATAAGAAATTACAAGAAGTTAAACAAAAGAAGCGCGTTTAGGGGCAATATACATTTTCCCCTTTTCCCAAATTTCCTCAAATCTAGTTTTCTCTTGTCTCACAGAAAAGGTAATTCTTTCCATTACATAGATTTCATAAATAATGTCATACCATTCCTCTATAGATAGGCCATTTGGCTTTAGCCATTTCTTTGTCATTGCTTTTTTAGCAGCTACGCTCAGAATACCAAACAAGTATTTTGTTTTAATATTTACAGATGTTGAGTGTAGAAAACCAAAGAGAAGTTCATCCCAATTAAAAGCAATTTTTGTTCCAAATATCATCACTAATTCTGTGTAGACCTTACGCCAGAAAGCATTTACAATTGGACAGGCCCAGAACAAGTGGTAATGGTTTGCTTCCTGAGAACCACAGCAACTTAATGTGACCCATTCATTGAATCGTTTATCATTTATTTCAACTGGAAGAGTCTGGAACAGATAAAGTATTCTAGGTAAGATCTTCATTTTAACAGATTCAATTCGTGACTCAAAACTCAATATTGGAATTAGATTCCACCTCTTTATATCCTCCTGTATTTTCTGATTTAATCGGTTGGAATTTGAATCGTACAATTTGGGTCTTTTGAATATTCAGTTTGTACCCAGAGACTGTGCCAAAGACATCCAGAAAAGACATTAGTTTCAATATTGAAGTCTCTGGGTGTGACAAATAGATCAAAATGTTGTCCGCAAACAGAGAAATTTTATGTTCTAGTCCTAGCATTTTTATATTTGTAATGCTATTATCTTGAGTAATCCCTTGGCTTAAAGCTTCAATAAATATTGCAAAAAGTAGAGGACTAATCGGACAGCCCGGTCTAGTCCCTCTTTCCAGACCGAATGAGTTTGATATGTTCCCATATATTTTTATCCTTGCCCTTGGATCATTATATAGTGCTCGAATGGTCGTGCTAAAAGTCTGATGAAATCCAAATTTCTGTAATACTCTATATAGAAACTCCCAATTGACCCGATCGAAAGCCTTTCCTGTGTCGAGGCTCAGCAAGACTGCCTGGGTGTTATTTTTAACTATATGTTCTGTAACATGGAGTGTTCTACGAATGTTGTCCTGAGTCTGCCTTTGTTGTATAAAACCTGTCTGATCCAAGCTTATTATCTGGGGAAGGATGTTTTCAAGTCTTTTTGCCAAAATATAGGTGAAGATCTTATAGTCCTGGTTCAGTACACTTATCGGCCGATAGCTGCCACAATCAAGCTTATCTTTACCCTCTTTCGGTATCAAAGAAATCACTGCTTCTTTCCAAGAAGGTGGAGTTATGCCAGTCTTGAATACATGAGTTTATGTGACTTTCATGATAGAAATCAGGAGGTCTTTCATTTCCTTATACCACTCAGATGGGTACCCATCTGGACCAGCAGCCTTATTTAGTTTCAAGTTCGAAATTGCTTTTTTAATTTTTTCATCTGTGATTTCCTCGATTAGAGCCCTATTTTGATAATCCTTCACTTTAGGTAATTTTATCAGGTTGAAGAAAGCATCCATCCTTGTTTCATCTATTCTAGGCTGAGAGTATAGGTTTTTATAAAAGGTTTCAAATGATTGATGAATTACTTTAGTTTTACAGAGTTTTTTTGTAGGGTCCTTTATTTTGAAAATTGTGTTTTCTTCTTGTTGCTTTTTTAGCCTGTAAGCCAGTAATTTAGTTGATTTCCCTCCCGCTTCATAATGTCTTTGTTTCAAGAAGATTAACTTTTTCTTAATGTCATTTGAATATATTTCATTTAGTTCATTCTTTGTCCTATCTATTTCCATTTTTGTAACCTGATTAAGTGTCTTTTTATGGATGTCTTCTAGTTGTTTTAATTCTGTTTGTAACCTTTCAATCTTTTCCCTCCTCTGTTTTTTTAAATTTGAACAATATCCAATAATTATAATAATTATAATAATTATTATAACTATTAATAATAATAGTACAGCTTTACAGGCATCCCAGAGGATCGGTGGGGACACTTCCCCGTTGTCATTGTCATCCAGATAGTTTTTAATGTCCTTCCTGATTTGCTGCCTACTGTGACTTAAAATCCCTGTGTTTAACCTCCAAACAGTATTCTTTTTAGAGAAGCCTAGTATTAAATTTAGTAATACTGGGGTATGGTCCGACAGATCCATGTTCCCAATGCTGCAGTTCAACACACTAACCAAATCTCTTTGGAACATAAAAAAGTAGTCAAGCCTGGAATAAACAGAGTGCGGGTGAGAGAAAAAGGTGTAATCCCTTTTAGTCGGGTTCAGGTCTCTCCATATGTCTATAAATCCCAGATCCTCCAGCATTAATTTGATGTTTTTGGTAGTTTTTTTCTCTCCTGGGATGCAAGGGTTTGAAGAGCCCAGAGCAGGTTGGAGTCTAACATTAAAATCACCTCCACAGATAAGGATACCTTGGGCTTCAGAAATTACTAATCCAAAAATTTGTTTATAAAATTCCCAATCTGATCCCGGGGGGACATAAACATTTAAAAAGGTAAATAAAACACCCTGTAAAAATCCCCGGACCAGTACAAATCTTCCATCAATATCTTTTTTTTCATATAAGCACTCAAAGTTTAATTTACTAGAAATTAAAGTTGCTACCCCTCTCTTTGAGCCCTGCCCACAGGAGGGTGAATACTGTTTAAATTTCCATCTCATGAGTTTTTCATGTTCCAATTCTGTTAGATGCGAGCAACTTCCACTCCCTCCCTCTTCAGTTCTGTCAAAACCTTGCTCCTCTTAATTGGGTTTCCCAGGCCATTTACATTATATGTGATTACTTTAACTGACTTGGTACTAAGCATCATATGGCTTTGAGTATGTTATAAGCACCCAGACGCTAAAAAAAAGCTTACCTTTTATAGCCCTGGAGCTACTAAGAACAGTAGCACTAACGCAAACAAACAACAATACCTTAACGGAACAATAAACACATAAAGCAAATCTGACTTCCAACTTAAAGGCCTCTTCTTCGAGTCCAGAGGGAAAATCTCGTCCTCTTGTCGATGAAAGAGGGCCCTTTTCAGCTTTAAAGCTGGTGCATGGGTCCATGATGTCCTGAGGTGTCCCGACGCCAGAAACTGTCCTTCATATGCCCATAATAATTACTTTCTGAAAACCTCCGTTAAATACCAGGAAATTTTATATTAAGTCCAGTCCTATAAACTTCTTAAACATATTGTTTGTAGCTATAAGCACTTCTGACAACTTGAGAGCAGAGGGTTACTTATCTGAAGTCCCGGCGCGGAAAGCCTGAAGCCAGTCTTTGAGTCTTTGCGTGGAGCCTGTATCCTCGCGGTTACCGCGGTTACTGTGTCTTCTGCCATATCGCCAAGTCAGCTGGCTTACTCGGTCCAGGAGGGAAGTCGGAGTTTTTAAAACGATCACCGGTATCCCCCTCTCTGCCATGTCTGCCGTCGCCACCTCGGCCGAGTTATACATGACCGTACCGTCCTTGTAAAACACCCTCAGTCTGGCCGGGAACAGAGTCTGAAATCTTATATTTTTCTCCTTCAGGGCGGCTTTCGCCTCTTTATATTCCCTTCGCTTCCTCAGCAGCTCCGGTGCGTAGTCGTGATCCAGGTGTACCCTTTTTCCTTGAAAATCAAACCCTTTACTCTGCCAGGCTCTTCTCAGCATGTCCTCCTTAGTTCTGTAACTTGAAAACTTGACTATGATGGATCTTGGCGGCGCTTCGGTCGGAGGCTTCGGAGTGACCGACCGGTGCCCTCTCAATATGTAGCACAGTAATGGGGGGGAGCTCCAGACCCTTCATTAATAAGTCCTCCACAAAAGAAATCATTGTGTCGACATTATCTTCAGCTCCTTCTTTTACCCCATGTAGCTTGATGTTATCACGTCTTGAATGTCCATTAAAACGCTAAGTCCATTAAAACGCTCCAATTAATTCAGAACGCTGCAGCACGAGTACTGACAGGAACTAGAAAAAGAGATCACATCTCTCCTGTACTAGCTTCTTTGCATTGGCTCCCTGTAAAATGTAGAATAGAATTTAAAATCCTCCTCCTCACCTATAAAGCTCTTCATGGTCAGGCCCCTTCATATCTTAAAGAGCTCATAGTACCCTATTACCCCACTAGAACACTACGTTCTCTGAATGCTGGGCTACTTGTGGTTCCTATAGTCTCTAAAAGTAGAACAGGAGCCAGAGCCTTCAGTTACCAAGCTCCTCTCCTGTGGAACCAGCTTCCAGTTGTGGTTCTGGAGGCAGACACCCTCACCACATTTATGAGTAGGCTTAAGACGTTCCTCTTCTCTCTGTCTTCTCTGTCTCTCTCTCTCTCCCTCTCTTTCTTTCTCTCTATCTCTTTCTCTCTCTCTCTCTCTCTCTCTCTCTCTCTCTCTCTCTCTCGCTCTCTTGGCAGACCTTGGCAAGGCAGACCTTGGCAACGGCGGCAAGGAAAAACTTCCTTTTAAGAGGCAGAAACCTTGGACAGACCCCAACTCTAGGTGGGTGGGAGAGAGAGAGAGAGAGAGAGAGAGAAAGAGATAGAGAGAAAGAAAGAGAGGGAGAGAGAGAGAGACAGAGAGAGAGACAGAGAGAGAGAGAGAGAGAGAGAGAGACAGAGAAGACAGAGAGAAGAGGAACGTCTTAAGCCTACTCATAAATGTGGAGAGGGTGTCTGCCTCCCAAACCACAACTGGAAGCTGGTTCCACAGGAGAGGAGCTTGGTAACTGAAGGCCCTGGCTCCTGTTCTACTTTTAGAGACTATAGGAACCACAAGTAGCCCTGCATTCAGAGAAAGCAGTGTTCTAGAGGGGTAATAGGGTACTATGAGCTCTTTAAGATATGAAGGGGCCTGACCATGAAGAGCTTTGTAGGTGAGTAGGATGATTTTAAATTCTATTCTAAATACAATATATTCTAGTACAGGAGAGATGTGATCTCTTTTCTTAGTTCCTGTCAGTACTTGTGCTGCAGTGTTCTGAATTAATTGTAGTTTCTTAATGGACTTATTGGGGCAACCTGATAATAAGGAGTTGCAGTAATCCAGCCTAGAAGTAACAAATTAATGGATTTGTTTTTTTGCATCTGTCTGTGATAGGATGTGTCTAATTTTTGTAATACGTAGATGAAAGAAGGCAGTCCTGGAGGTTTGCTTTATATGGGAATTAAATGACATGTCCTGATCAAAGATAACTCCAAGATTCCTATATATTAATGTATATTGACTAGATATTAATGATGGAACCCATTCATAAGGTGACCTTTATGAACAGGAGTTACATCAATTTATATTAATTATATATTAATATATATTGATATATATTAATTATATATTAATATATATTAATTAGAAATCAATGATGAACATAAACACTAAGTATGGTAATGTTTATGATTTTCATTTTGCTTGTCAGCAGGAGACAGATTGTAAATAAAAACCTGAGCTGCCTATCAAGAGAAATAATAATAATAATAATAATTTAAGCTGCAAGCAGCGGTGAATGGGCCCTCGCACTCCACGCAACTCGGGGTGTGCAGCAGCCACGTCACGTGCCGTAGTAACACATGCAGACCACAACATGAAAATTTCACGTAAATCGGATCATAATCACAGCCCTTACTTCCTCTTGCCAGTAGGTGGCGTGATCACTATATCTGAATATTGTCATGTAGACGTGTTCAGGGCGGGACTCTTATTAAACATGTGAAGTTTCATTGAGATCGGACCATGAACTGAAGTTAGGAGTACTATCTGTTTTATGGCCAATCGGCAGAATTCGACACATCATCGCGGGCACGGGGTTGGTATCACAGTGACATTTGATTCAACCTGGCCAACTTTGACGGCACGCCACGGACATGCCCTTCAATGTACATGCACAAATAGCACAACTTTTAATCAGCAACATACTTTGACTGACCCATTTTGAAGCAGATCCGATATATTCTCTAGGAGGAGTTCGTTCAAATACAACGCAAAAAAACACTGAAAATCACAGCGATATTCAACGTGGCCAAATTTGACTGCACGCCACGGACACGCAGTTGAACGTACAGTCACAAATAGCACAACTTTGAATCAGCAATGTTTTTTGACTGCGCAGGATGGCAATGCGGGAGTTATTAGGGAAACACACTTTTTATGATAGTAGCGTAGTGGCCAACCCAAAAATGACGCATAGAATATACATTTTTCACTCAGACTGATATGTGCGCCGCATTTCATGAGTTTTCGAGCATGTTGCAGCCTCCAAATATGCAGTCAAAGGGGCAGAAAACAATAATACGAATTCCTTCAATTACAATGGTGCCTTTGCACGGTCAGTGCTCAGGCCCTAATAATGCTCAGGGACCCCTGCGTCTGGAGCCCAGTCCAGGACAGAACTGATCAGATTGTTGAGTCTCTTCTGGTCCCGCTCTGTGCTTCCAGCTCCCCAGCAGACTAAGATAAGATTTACTTTATTAATCCCCTGTTGGAGAAATTCTTTTTTTCACTCTTTTTTGTTTGATTTCTATACCACACAGGCTGAAATGCACACTCATGCACATGCAAACATGGAGAGAGATGGTGGAGTGATGGGCTGCCATGTTAGCAGTGTGCCATGAGCAGTTTTTTGGCTCTCCAGCTACCAGTCCACACTCCATTCTGTGGTCTGTGGGTCTTGAACCAGCAACCCTCCGGTTTCCAAGCCAAGTCCCTACACACTGAGCTACTGCATGAAGGAGGGCACACACCAAAAGGACCTCAGTCTCCTCAGCAGGTGAAGAAGACTTTGGCCCTTTTTGTACAGGATATAACATAACAGCAGGTAGAATTCTCCTGCAGCAGGTTCGACTCCGACCTTTGACCCTTTGCTGCATGCTTCCCCCCCTTAAATTTAATATGGTTTTAATGAATGTTAGAAATAATTATTTCCATTTGAAAACAACATATATGTAAATAGTTGAGTTCATTAAAGTTCTAATACCTAACATATACAATGTAGAACTGTAAATACTCCAGTGCATTAGCTCAGATGTGGACTTCCTGCAGTACTGTTGAGTCCAGCAGAGGCTTTAGTGAGGTCAGACTGGGACAGGAAGTGGTCACTGTGTCACTGTGTCTCTCTGACCTTCAGCCAACAGAGTTCACTATCAGAGATTTGGCCCAGACTCTCCTCCTGCCCACATGTGAAGACATGAAACCAACAGACTGAAACACAGACCTGGTCCCGGTCTGAGCCACTAGCACACACAGGGGACTGCATCCTGATTGGACTCACAGGTACGAGTTCACCTGTGTCTCACCTGGTATCAGAACTGCAGACAGACGCTGAGACAAAGGTTGTGTTTTTGTATTATATATTTATTACCTTATATTTATTAATATTATATTACATTATATTGTATTATACTGTATTATATTATTTTATAGTATATTATATTGTGTTCTGTAGTGTTATTATGTTACGTTGGGTTATATGTTGCTGTATTAAAATGTGTTATGTTATATTTTTATGTTTTATAATATGATGTTATGTTGTATAATGTTATGCAATGTTAGCAGGTGAGGTTAAAGGTTGTGTTTCAGGGATTAAGGTACCAACAGATAAAACAGAATTTAAAAGAGTTGAAGCAAAAATCATCTATTTTTGGTTTTATGAAGCTATTTTGTAGTATTATGATACTTTTATTTGAAGTATTATGATCATATAAATTAATCTGTTTGATGAGTTTGTGTTTAGGAAACATCAGAAATGTAAAAAAATCCTCTAGACTGAATAAGGGCAGATTGTGTCAGATGTGGTTCAGTTTTGGTTTTCTGGGTTCAGCTCTCAGTGTTTTTGAATATTTTTGGCTTCAGGACAGAGAAAATAAACACCGCTGACCTCCATAGCTTTAGACTCACAGTCAGCAGCATCTCAGCCAAATTTAAAGAGGTCGACCTCAAATTAGCTGCTGCTGTTTACGTACAGAGCTGTTAGCTGTAGATTTAATGTCAACCACTGCTGCTGGACTTCTGCTCCTCTGTTCACCTTGTTAGATCCAGCATGGCAGTCTCTGAGGAGAACCTGGATGACTACAGTGTTTACAGTGAGCTGTCTGATGAGGAGCTGTTAGAGATCGCTATAGAGAGGAGTCTCTCTGACAGACATCTTCCTCCAGACTCTGATCAGAGCACATCATCCTCAGCCCCCCCCACCCAACTAAACCAACCCCTGACCCTGACACTGACTCAACCAACCAGACAGAGACCTCCTGACCCCCCCAGACACCAGTACCACAGCCCTCCATCCCAACCAGAGCTCCCATATGTCCCAGGCCCACCCCACTTCCTCTACAAAACCCTCAAAAGGTGAGTCAGTCCAGATCAATCCAGAGAGGAAGTAAACAGCCAGCAAACATCTAAAAACACACATTTGGAGCACAATGTGGTTCTATGTCATCCATGAACCTCCTGTGAGTGAATGCTTCAGATATATTTGGACCAGGAAGCAGAGCTGCTGTCTTACACACTTCTCTGCGCTTTCTTTAGAACAGTCACCCACCCAAAACCCCATAGAGACTGTGTCTGTCCCCCGACCACCTAAATTATTTAAACAAATAAAAACAAGAGGAGTTCAACATAAAAATCTAATAAAAATTAAAACCAACTCCTCAGTAGCACAAAATAAGAGAATGAAATGTGGGCTGTTAAATATCAGGTCTCTGTCCTCTAAAGCTGTTTTAGTGAATGAATTAATATCAGATTATGATATTGACTTACTTTGTCTTACTGAGACCTGGTTGTCCCACGAGGAGTATGTTAGCCTAAATGAATCCACCCCAGTCATATTAATACTCACATTCCTCGAGGCACTGGCCGAGGAGGTGGAGTGGCAGCCATATATGATTCAAGCGTTTTAATGGACCCTAAACCTAAACTAAATTATAATTCATTTGAAAGCCTTGTTCTTAGTCTTTCTCACCCAAACTGGAAAACACTGCAGCCAGTTCTATTTGTTATAGTGTACCGCGCTCCTGGACCGTACTCTGATTTTATATCTGAATTCTCAGAGTTTTTATCAAGTTTAGTCCTTAAATCAGATAAAGTAATTATTGTAGGTGATTTTAATATTCATGTGGATGTTAACAATGACAGCCTTAGTAATGCATTTATATCATTAATAGATTCAATTGGCTTCTGTCAGAGTGTAAATAAACCAACTCATTGTTTTAATCACACTCTTGACCTCGTTCTATCATATGGCATTGATATTGAACATTTAATATAGAGGAGCCTATTACTCAGCACTAATAGAAGAAAATAAGAATAACCCTAGGTTCCTCTTCAGCACTGTAGCCAGGCTGACAGAGAGTCACAGCTCTATTGAGCCACATATCCCCATAAACTTAAGTAGCAATGACTTCATGAGCTTCTTCTATAATAAAATTATTACTATTAGAGAGAAAATTAATCACCAACTGCCATCAACAGTTATCAGTGGATCTCCAAGTTCAGGGACTTCTGCCAATGTAAACTTAGATATATATTTAGACTGTTTTTCTGCTATCGATCTTCATCAGTTAACTTCAATCATTTCTTCATCGAAGCCATCAACCTGTCTATTAGACCCGATCCCAACTAGGCTGCTTAAAGAAGTTGTTCCCTTAATTGGCACTTCTTTACTGGATATGATTAATCTTTCTTTATTATCAGGATATGTACCACAGTCCTTTAAAGTAGCTGTAATTAAACCTCTTCTTAAAAAGTCCACTCTTGACCCAGGGGTTTTAGCCAACTATAGACCGATTTCTAACCTCCCTTTCCTCTCTAAGATCCTGGAGAAAGTAATCGCCAAAGAGTTGTGTGACTTTCTACATAACAATAGTTTATTTGAGGATTTTCAATCAGGATTTAGAGTTCATCACAGCACAGAGACAGCTCTGGTTAAAGTTAATAATGACCTTCTGATTGCTTCTGACAATGGACTTGTCTCTGTACTTGTATTATTAGATCTTAGTGCTGCATTTGACACCATTGACCATAATATTCTTTTACAGAGACTTGAGCATCAAATTGGCATTAAAGGAACCGCACTAAGCTGGTTTAAGTCATATTTATCAGATCGTTTGCAGTTTGTACATGTTAATGATGAATCTTCAATATATACTACAGTTAGTCATGGAGTTCCACAAGGTTCTGTACTTGGACCAGTACTATTTACTTTATATATGCTCCCTTTAGGCAACATTATTAGGAATCACTCCATTAACTTTCACTGTTATGCAGATGATACGCAGTTATATCTATCAATCAAGCCCGATGAAATTAATCAATTATCTAAATTACAAACATGTCTTAAGGACATAAAATCCTGGATGAGCTGCAATTTTCTGATGTTAAACTCAGAAAAAAACGAAATTCTTGTTCTTGGCCCCAAAAACCTTAGAGACTCACTGTCTAAAGATATAGTTACTCTAGATGGCATTAACTTGGCCTCTAGCACCACTGTCAGGAATCTTGGAGTTATCTTTGATCAGGATTTGTCATTTAAATCCCACATAAAGCAGACCTCTAGGACTGCCTTCTTTCATTTATGTAATATTAGAAAAATTAGACACATACTGTCACAGACAGATGCAGAAAAACTAATCCATGCATTTGTTACTTCAAGGCTGGATTACTGCAACACTTTATTATCAGGTTGCCCCAATAAGTCTGTGTCTGTCTGTCTGTCTGTCTCTCTCTCTCTCTCCCTCTCTCTCACCCCAACTGGTTGAGACAGACGACCACCCACCTAGAGCCGGAGGATCTGTCCTAGGTTTCTGCCTTTTAACAGGCAGTTTTTCCTTGCCCTTGTCGCCAAGTGCTTGCTCATGGTTGTACTGTTGGGTCTCTGTAATTAATGTTTTAAAGAGTTCGGTCTAGACCTGCTCTATTTGAAAAGTGTCCTGAGATAACTTCTGTTATGAATTGGCACTATACAAATAAAATTGAATTGAATTGAATTGAATTGAATCTGCTGTGCGGCCTTCAACCTGCTCTTTCATGAAATTTTTAATGTTTGCTGGGTGTTTGTTTTCAGTTTTTATGTGTTGTTCACAGTTTCTTACTGTACTTCCTGATCCTCACAGTGAGTGTTTTCCTCTTTTTCTCTCAGAGAGCTCAGTCCTCTGCAGTCTCTGATTATAAACGGAGATACAGAGGCTTTGATGGATTTGGTCAGACAGCGGTCCAGCAGTCTGACGGAGCCCAACAAGGAAGGCTGGATTGCTCTTCATGAAGCTGCTTACTATGGACAGCTGCAGTGTGTCAGTATCCTCGTCCGTGGTGAGGAAGACCACTAGTTGTCTGATGAAGGATATTTATAATGCAGATATCCCAAATGTAATCGTTAAATAGTAATGTACTGGTACAGCGTTATCTGAAGACTCTATGAGACTGTTGTTGCAGATTGTAAGTCACTCAAAGTCCAACTTGTGTTTTGTGGTGCCAGGTTTCCTTTTTCACTTTGTACAGCACTTTTGTACATGACAGGACACCTCTAAAACTGACTAACCAAATTCCTGAGCTTAAATTAAAGCTTTGGTATATAACAACTTTAATTTAAGTAACAAAGACCACAGAAATGAGGTTCTGGATTTATGACCCCAAAGAATGGATACTGTGATTACTGGGTACATTTTGCAGATGTTGAAGGAGAGATGGTTGAGATTTTGGGATGCCATTCAGCTGAAAACCACCTGCTGCCATAGTAGTTGCCAAAGCTGGCAGAAGGGGCTGCATGTCTGAACCGCTAGATGTCTTCTTGCTTGCTGACGTGGTCATTGTAGAAGGAGATGAGGACTAGAGGAATTGGTGCCAGAGCCTAAAGTGCTTGTGACAGAGGTGGTTATGGAAAGGGGGAATGACAAGAGGGATGGATCTTGGGGGCTGATGCTAATGGCATAGTTGAGGTAGCCTAGCAGAGATTAAAGTTGGCATTTGGTGCATTTATGAGCCAGAAGAAATCCAAAATGAGTAAGAAAATACTTAAGATTGGTACGTCAGATAAAGAGTTTAATATTTTCAGGCTGCTCAGTTAGGGTGGTTGGGAAGGACTTTGAAGGCACTGGTGATGTCTGTCTTGGACAACCAGGCTCCTTGGCCTGCGATGTGGGTGAGGGAGATAGCTTGATCAATTGTTCTGTACTTCATGGACGGGGACAATGAATTTTGGCTGATGACAGCACCATAAATCACTGTCATGGGTGCCGTCTGTGTGACTGGGATGGCTGTATTGAAGAGGGAGGAGCTGAGGTGGCCAAAGAAAGATGGGAAAGTTAGAAGCTAGAGAAGAAGAATGGATGAAGGGATGTATGTGCTCAGGTTGTTAATGAAGCCTGAGGGAAAATAGAGGAGGAATGAGAAACAGTGAAAGAAGGGACAGCGTTTGATATGATCTGGCCCTCTGAGAGGGCTGATGTGGAAGACTGGGTTTCTTTGGCTGTGGGATGTGTTGTAACGTCATTGGCCCTGCCACGCAACAACACTTGGAATCCAAAAGTGTGCGTGAAGCTCGGCGAGGGAGAATGGAAATTTGCTAAGAATCTGTGAACAGTTTTGCTTTGTTGTCAGAGTGGTTGAAGAGGACATTTCGCTGAATGAATGTGTTCTTGTTGTTGACCATTGCGGAATATGGACCTTTCAGGACAACTGAGGTAGCTGACGACGAGGGATGTTTGGTTATTGAGAGGATCCTGAGACTTCAGGAGTTTGCATATCTTCTTCAAACAGATTGCTGTCTGAAGGGTTAAGAGGGAGCTGCTCATCCATTGTTAAGCAGGGTTTTTTTTACTAGTCTGTCGTGTGAAATGAAGTGCAAGAGGAAGTAAACAGATAAGGTGTGCTTAAGTACTTTTTATGCAAAAGTTCAGGATGTAGTCTCATACTTATAAAATTATAATGCTTTAACACTGCACTTACCAAAGTCAGTCAACACTGTAATTGCAAGTTTTATGGCCGGTGGCATCCTAATCATAGTTGACCATGAAAGTTGTTTCACCTTTGACCTCTTACTGTCCCCAGCTCATCCCAACTCAGTGAACAGATGCAGTTCAAAGAATCAGACTGCTCTGCTGCTGGCTGCTGGTCGAGGAAATGTTTCCTGTGTCGACTTTCTCCTGAAGCATGGAGCCGACCCGAATATCGCCACCAAGGACCGAGAGACGCCTCTGTTCATAGGTGAGATGACATCCCAGCTGACATGATAGAGCCTGCTGAAATATACAGTGATGTCATTGATGTAAAAGGAAACCATTGACCTTAGAATAGTTGATAAGAGTTAAAATCAGCAGGCTTTGTGCTGTTTATTTAACTTAGCATCTGGTTCTGTTTTTTTCAGCCTGTGAACATACGAACAAAGCCACTGTAGATCTCCTGCTGAGGTCTGGAGCTCAGGTGAATCACTCCTGCAGTCAGGGAGGAAGTGCTCTTCATGAAGCCTGCAGACATGGACAACTAGAGGTCTGCAGGGTGTTACTAGAGGCTGGAGCCAATCTACACACCAGAAATATCTATGGCATCCAACCGTTCTTCATTGCTGCACAGCATGGGCATGTCGATATCATCCACCTGCTCGCTAAGAGAGGTCAGCCCTACACACCTGTTCTTGAGTTACTTTCAGTATCTGATGTTAAAGTTTTTCTGAAGGTGTGTTTATGTATTTCAGGTGCAGATATAAATGGACAGGCACTGGATGGAGCCTCGCCACTGTTTGAAGCCTGTAAGAACGGTCATGTTTCCGCTGTGGAGGTGCTGCTTTCTCTGAAAGCTGATGTTAACCGATCCATGAAGTCTGGCCTGCTGCCTCTTCATGTGGCTGTTCAGAATATTCACACACGGTCTGGAATTTGGCTGTATAAGTTTGACAGTCCTGTTTTACTTTTATCAACTGTCCTGTCTTTCATAATAAACCCACTGCTACTCTCTGATTGACTCCAGTTCAACATATTTTATGTATATATACTGTTTGGGCTTTAAAAGCTTTAACAGCAGAGGTCTGGTGTTACAAACTCTAAAGTAAAAACTGATGCCTGTTTGTTAACTCTGTTGCCTCTGCTGCTGATATCAGGTCCTCCCTGACAGCTACCTTTTGATTTCCAGAATTGTGTTGATGCTGATCCCAGTGACCAGTAGCGTCAGAGTCAGGAACAGTGGCATCAGTCCTCTGCACCTTGCCGCACAGAAGAACAGGGATGACATCATAGAGCTGCTGATCAAATCTGGCTTCGACGTCAACGCCAAGCTGTCAGAGGTACGCTCAAGTATGTATGAGGACCGGCGGAGCACGGCGCTCTACTTTTCTGTCTACAATGGGAACCTGAAGGCCACCGAGATGCTGCTGGAGGCTGGAGCCAACCCCAACCTGGATGTCTTCAACCCGCTGCTTATTGCTGTTAGGCTAGGCTGGATGGACATGGCGGCGCTGCTGCTGAAGTATGGTGCCAACGTCAATGCTCAGATCTCTACCCAGCCGTCCTCATTCCCATCGGCCATCCTGCTCAGCATAGAGTGTTTGCCCATGCTCAAACTACTGCTGGACAATGGCTGTGATGCCCAGCCCTGCTTTGACTGCCCGTATGGCCAAAAACCACATCCGGCCATCATGCCATCACGCCGCCCGATAGAAGAAATGCAGGTCAACGAAGATGAGCCACCACAGCGCAGCATTCTGGTGAGTCAGAAATATCAGGCACAAATTAGTGCATGTGACTGATAGATAAAGGCTGTCCTCTATCTTGTTTCAGTTCTGCGAGGCCATCTACTGCTCAACTTTCTGCTATGTAGCTGGTCCGATCCTCTCGATGATGCTGGACTATGTCAGTCAAGTCCATCTCTGCTCGCGGCTGCTGGAGGTTCTGGAGAGTCGCAGCGACTGGGCATCGATCAAACTGAAAGCTCGTAAGAAACATAAACAAGACTGAGAGTTGACAGAAAGTCTCCATAGAATATAGCAGGCATATACTTATACATAAATATACACATATCACTTTCCGGTCTGCAGAATGAACTCGCCCCCTCTTGGACGAACCAAGCACCATTCCTAAAAGCTGCTGCATTTTACACATCAAACGATAAAATAGTTTATGACTTCACTTAGGCTGACCTGCCTTCTAATAATGAACCTTATAAACAGCAGACAGTAACATAAGAATTGGAGATAAAAGCCTCCTGTTTTCTTTTTCTGTGGTCTCGTAGTAAAAGATCGATTGATGAACACAAACCATGGAATTAGTTTATAGTAACATCACATTGGACAGACACAGCAAAGAGTCTGAACCCAAGAAACAGAGTCAGATGGCAGAAATATGAGATTCAAGGTTGTTGTATATGTCAGGACACTCATCAATAGCTGTATTTTATTTACAACCAAAACATTTAATTAGCAATAACCTCAGTATACCTGGATGGCCTGCTCTCATTTAAGTCAATTTTCAATTCAATTCAATTCAATTTTATTTGTATAAGTCCAATTCATAACAAGAACTTATCTCAGGACACTTTTAAAATAGAGCAGGTCTAGACCGAACTCTTTATAACATTATTTACAGAGACCCAACAGTACCTGCCTGTTAAAAGGCAGAAACCTAGGACAGATCCTCCGGCTCTAGGTGGGTGGTCGTCTGTCTCGACCAGTTGGGGTGAGAGAGAGAGAGAGAGACAGACAGACAGATAGACAGGTGCACAGCAACAACACTATGTAAGGTTTGAGTTTCTTGGAAAGGTTTGAATTCTTAGGAAATGTTCCTAAAAAGGAAGCCAAGGTTACTTGTTATCTCTACATAAATCCCATTCCTTCAATACTGTTACACTCCATATTTTTCCCCTGATGATCCACGGCCCCCGTAAAGTTTAGTTCTAATTGTGGTAGTGTAGGAAATGTTCCTTAGTTCCCAAGCAGGGAACAAAAGAAACTGAGTACTGAGTAGTGCCTCAGTCTGACTGGCTGTCTGCACTGGAGGGGCAGAGAAGGCTATGTGTTGGGGGCTGGGCTAACAAACATTTGTGTTCAAACTCTCTAACCTGTCCTCTGTGTGTGTTTCTCTTCAGTTCATCCTCAGCCTCTGATGCAGCTTTGCAGGTTGAAGATCAGACGTCTGGTCGGGGTCCAGAGACTCAAACTGCTCCACAACCTGCCACTTCCTGTCAGACTGATCCGCTTCCTGGTCTACAACGTCCACTGCTCACTCACCTGAAATCACATGTTACACCAATGTTATGTTTGTGGTGCTGGGAGGTCTGTGAGGAAGTTGGACCACTGTAGCCGGAGATGGGCAGTATTTCAATTTAATGTATTTAAAATATGAATTTAATTACTTTTGAGTAGTTTGTAATTTGTATTTTGCTGGGCAGAAAAAAATAAGATGTAATTTGTATCAAAAAGACTTTAAGAACTTGTATTTGAAATAATTTAAAGACATTATTTATTAATATGTCTTTATTTTACATCTTTCGTGTGTGTGTGTGTGTGTGTGTGTGTGTGTGTGTGTGTGTGTGTGGGGGGGGGGTCAAGGTCAGCCCATATTGAGGTTAGTATAGGAAGTAGTTTTATATTTTCAAATTACAAATTACTTGTATTTTAATTAAATATATTTTTTGATACATCTGATGAACAACTATTTGTCATTTATAACCAGATACCGTTTGATGTATTTGTGCCCATCTCTGGCTGTAACCAGTAAGTTAAGCACAAACACTGGCATTTTGTTTAATAAAACTTTATTGAAGAGGGAATGTAAAGCTCTTTTTGTCTTAGAAAGACAGCTGAGATTATTCAACTTTTAAATATAAAACCACTGCTAAATGTGTTTTTTAAGACTTCCTGTGTTTGCAGTTCAGTTGCTGCTCTTCTGTTGTGTTGTTGCAACTGAACTGGTCATACTGGTCTTATATGGGTCTGATTATATCTTAACATTTTTCCCAACAGCAGTTTTTAGAGAGAGATTAGAGATTAGAGACTAGATTAGAGTTTCTGATATCAAAGCAAAATAAAATTTTCATCCTGGAAATGTGAAACAAGATCTTTATTTACATTGTTTATTGGCTTACATGCTTATGGTATTCATGTATCTTTGGCTTTAATCAGTTACCATGGTGGTGTCTCACATATTTCATTTGTTCTTTTATCATGTTTTAGAAGAAATAAAGAGTTTTTAGTTATTTAGTGACCAGCAGCTCTCCTGTAAGGAGCGCCCCTTACAGTTTTCACGTCAGGAGGCTGAAATTGTGTTGGAGGTCTAGTGTTTGTTAGGTTGTGTGTGAATGCATGAAGGCATGGATGCTTGTTTGTTTAACTATTTATCTATTAACGATAATGCGATACAGTAAAATAAACAGTAATGAGAATTTTTTAACTTTCAGGGTAGGTGAAATGACCTTTAACCTGTGTCACTGTCTGTGCTATATCACTGAACATATATCATGTTATAAACACATTCAGCCAGTTTTATATATATACTTTATGTATTCCATAAAGTATACACAGTTTGAATTGTGAATGTTGCAGTTTGTCTCCACTCTGTTGTTTAATAAAGTTTTTATTGAACAGCTCAGCTCTGACCTTCACATTGCTTTCACTCAGCAGCTGAATCTAAAAATAACTCTCAGGTTAACAACTGTCAGATCATTGGTTGGTCAGTTTACAAGTAGATAAGAGACAACAACAACAACAACAACAACAACAAACTTTATTGAAACAGCACTCTTTAAAAAAAAGTGGTTCATGTGGTGGAACCAGGACCAGGTTGAATCAGCATTCCTAAGGCTAGCAGAGGCTAACAGCTAGCAGACCGGGTGGTTGGAGAGGGTTAATAAAATCGTCTAACAATCCCAGAAGAAGTTCCACCAACCAAGATTTTGAAAGACACATCCTGGAGTAACAAAGACCATCTGGCACAGACTGGGACCAGAGGCTGACAGGGTAACTGGAGAATGAGACACAGGTGAGCTGGGTGGTGGAGGGTCAGCTAAAGGGGAATGATGGGAACTGTGGAAACAGGTGAGCAGGTGGGAGAGGGAGTGTCTGTGGTGAGTGTAGGGTTCAGGTTCAAGGTTGTACAGTTGATTTGTTAGTTTGGGGGGCAGTCAGGATGTATTAAAGGCAGAGACTCTGTTCATGTTCAGAACCTGAAAAGTTGCTTCCCAGCTGGAACCAGACAATATCAGCTCTTCAGTGGTTCCACTCTAAACTGGTTTTCTCAATAGATTATCACATTACTAGTTAATTAAAACAATGGCAGCATATTTGGTTTACAGAATAATCCTGCTGGACATGTCTTCAGACAGTGAGCTGAATGAGAGGTTTCCCCTGCAGGTGCTGATTGAAGCTTAGATTTCAAAATGTAAAATACCATTGGAGATATGATTAATGTACATCATCATTTCTGTTGGTGTTGTTTAATTTAGCTGTTAGAACATTTATGTGCATACTGCTCTATAAATTACATTATTTCGACATCAGTAAAATGTACTTTCCTTTTCTTTTGATTTGTGTTATCTATCTTCCGTAGCTTGTTTAAAGTTAGAATGCACTTTGGATAGAAATGTGTTGCTTGACAACGAGCAGCTTTTCAGTTGTATTCACGTGAACGTGCATCATAAGACCGGCTCAGCTACAAGCATGGTCAATCAGGCTTGGTGCACCAGTGTAAATTTGAATTATAAAGTAGGACCTAGCAAAAACCGTTATAAGAGTTAAAACCTATTGAACAGATTACAGTCTAACCCAGAACAGATTACAGACTAACCCAGAACAGATTACAGACTAAAACTCCTCTTCAGTATTTCACATGAAACATGTTTTCCAGGGTTCAGATTACTGTAACATTAGATTTAAATTTCAACTGGTCAACAAGCTCAGACTGCAGGTCCTTAAAATAAACCAAACTCAAGTACCCCCGCCCAACCCCCAACTCTAAAACAACCAACCCGTCCACACAGTGTGCAGTTTCCGTTGCAAATAGTCATACAAACAAATAAAACACATGGACACATAAAGAACCAGGAGGTGAGTGCTTTGTTTTAATGTCAGTGCTGTTGTCTGCATAAAGTTTGATTTGATATTTTGACTGTTTGTGTGACTGTTACAGTGATCTTAGTCGACTGCTGGGTTAAAGATCAGCACTTGTTTCCCCGGTTAATTAAAGCTCTAGTGTGTAACATTACTGTAATATAATATGTTTTAAAGTGTTTTCATCTACATAGGGAGCGGGTCCTCTTCTGGCGGAGTCCGCCTGTTATGTCTGTCACAAACATTAGTATTGTGCTATTGTCAATTTTTCTTGTGTTATTTCCTGTTTTGTTTAGTAGTTTTCCTCCTCGTGTCATATGTTGCTTCACCTCCTGTCTTTGTCTTTTTCCCGCCATTTTTGATTGTTTGCCCCACCTTGATTGTCTGCACCTGTGTCTAATTAGTCCCCTCCCCTAGAGTACATAATAGGCTCATTGGAGATGAACGCTGCCTCATCTGGAAAGTGAAGATATCAGGCCGCAGCAGCAGGAGGTGACAAAAAGCTGTAGTCAGTCTGACCGTTCCCAGCAGCCTTCAAAGAATAAACAGGAAGTCACAGAAATGTTTGCATCCTATGGGATCGTCTGTAGGCTGCCTGTAGTTTTTAGACCAAATTCAGACCTATAAATAAACTTTATTATTATTATTATCAACCTCCCAAAATCTGTTTTATAACATTCATTACACAAAAGAGACACAAACAGCTTTCAAATCTAGAATGAAATATTAAAATCACACAGAAAATCAGGGTAACATGGTGTTGCCAATCAGCTCTTAGATCAGGTGACAGCCAGGCGTTAGAATTTCTGCCTGTTTGGATTTGCCTGAGGTGACATATACCCTCCAGAATCGGCCTGCTAGCCACCTTTTCATGATTCACCTGAGACTGCAATGAGCTGTTTGAGGAGCCACACTGACATTCAGAGGTCACCTTTTGAGGAAACTCGCCTGGCCATTTTCATGTGGTCCCGTGGAGGCCGCAGAAGGAGACATGATCGTCATGGCTCCCAACGCCTCTGGCAGACTCAGCTGCCCAGTGCCCCAGAAACTCAGCTGCCTGGCCGACACCTGCTCCTGGCTCCCTGTCAGCAGTCTGGCTGACACCTGCCCTTTGTTACTTGTCGGCGGCCCTGCCAAGACCTGCTCCTCGTTCCTTGTCGCTGGTCTGACTCTGCCTATTTGGATTTGTTTACTGTGTTTCCTGGACTCCTGTGTACCAACCCATTTTGGCAAGTAAAGACTGTGTCTGACGTTTTGGATTTGGGTCCTATAGCTCACCTGTTGTAAAACCACCATGAACTGAACTGAACTGCCGTGTTTCTACAGTAGCCCAGATGGAACAAACCAAACAAGAAGGGTCCAACTGCAGTCCTCCTTCCTGAGGCACCAGTTCTGTGAGCCAACGGGTTTTAAGCATGAGTTGGAGGGTTCCAACAAAATCTGTTTCTGAACAAATTTTAGGCAATTCAATTTGTGTATTTTTCACTCAATTTAGATTTAAAAGTTTGTTTGGGCCTTTGTAAGATTCAGTCGCCAGTTCACACATTAACTGGTTTAACAGCCCTGCAGCTGTTAAACCAGTTAATGTGCGACTGAATGCTTCTGTGGTTACTTACAGTGATGGCAGCTGTTGAAAACAAGAAAAGAGCACATTGAATTTTCACTAAATATAAATATATGTGTTGCCCACATAAGAATGTTATGAGAGGTGAATCAGTCTTGCTGAGCACAATTTAACGTACATACTGTTTAGTGTAGATATTAAACACAGATGAGTGTATTTAAAATTGAAATACTGCAAGCAGGGATGAACGGGCCCTCACACTCCACGCAACATGGGGTGTGCTGCAGCTGCGTCACATGCAAGTGTAACATATGCAGACCACAACATGAAAATTTCATGTCAATCAAATCAAAATCGCCACGCAGCGCTTTCTTCCTGTTGCGAGTAGGTGGCGCTATCACTATATCTGAATATTGTCGTGTATATGTGTTCAGGGCGGGACTTCTATCAAACATGAAGTTTCATTGAGATTGGACCATATACACTGAAGGTATGACAACTTCCTTTTTCATGGTGAATCATCGAAATTGGACACCACGCCACGCCATTCGACGGAATATTGTAAATAGCACAACTTTTAATCATAAATGTGTTTAGACTGCACTGATTACATTTGAACTTGATCTGATAAATTCCCTAGAAAGAGTTTGTTCAAATACAACGTGCGCAAATCACCAAAAATTACCACGAAATTCAAAATGGACGACTTCCTGTTGGGTTTCGGTTATGGGTCCAAGAGGCTTTTTTGTTTGTCCCATCATGATACACATGCCTACCAATTTTCATATATGTTCGTCTTACGTGTCTTGGGGGCCCATTCAGGGAACCAAAACAATACCTTAGCCTTCACCACGACTGAATTTTGTGCAAAGTTTCATGAGGTTTCAGGCATGTTTAGCCCCCCAAAAAATTTTCAAATGTTAACAAAAAGGCAGTTTTCGCAACGTTGCCATGGCATCGTGGTTCTACGCAAATTGTTGAGATTCATAAGATGTCATCGTCATCATCCTATGGAACTTCTGACAGAATTTCAGCTGGATCTGATCAATCTGCTGAAAGATATACATAAAAGTGTAAAAATGACATTTCCTTTCACCACTAGATGGGGCTCTCACTATTACTGAATATTATCACATAGATGTGTTCAGGGCGGGACTCATATCAGACAAGTGAAGTGTGGAGCCGATTGGACAATGTACACTCAAATTATAGCAAACCCGTGTTTTGTGGCGGTACATCAAAATTTCCCGCCACACCACGGACACAACCACTTATCACATTCATCACATATCATCAACAATGTGTTTTGCATTTTATAATGAATTTCAGCTGGATCTGATCATCCTGCTAGAAGTAGAACATGAAAGTATAAAACGTGATACTTCCTGTTGCCACTAGGTGGGGCTCTCACTATTATTGAATATTATTACATAGACGTGTTCAGGGCGGGACTGAAGTGAACATGTGAAGTGTCCTTGCGATCGGATCATGTACGCAGACGTTATGACAAATCCCTCTTTCATGGCAAAGGTTTCGAAATTGGATGCCACAAATCTGAAGTTGATGCTTCGCACGATTTGTGCTCGAGCCCTAATTAAAGACTTGTAAGAGGACAAGTATGTGTTCTGTTTTCAACATCTGTACTACAAGCAACCATTCTGCCGAAAGTCACCAGTCATCTACTAGTAATATATTTTATATAATAATATTATGTGAACTAAATGATTTCTGAAAGAAAATGCAATAATTATTCCAACCAGCAGGGAGCCATAATACCTACATGAGAAAGGTCTGAGGAGGGAGTTCTGTGGATGGACTTCACACACACTGGACCTTTTAAAGAAACAGACCAACAATATACTCACTAAACTCTGTTAGTGCCTCCCACAGGTTGCACATTTCATTACATCTTACTCTTCTGTGTCATTTGTTGTTGCCTTTGGTCAGACAAATACGTCATCATCCTCCAGAAAGTAAGAATTCTTTACAGCAATTTGTTTTTCTTCTGTTTGTTTCAGCCAGTGAACTCATCAAAGTGCCATCATGGCAGCCGCCAGTCTCTCTCGCTCTGGATCAGCCGCTCTGACCTTTGAGGATTACTCTCTCTATAATAACCTGAGTGATGAAGAGCTAGTGCAGGTTGCCATCGAGCGCAGTCTGACCGACGCGCAAGGCTACACTGCTGCTGTCGCTACCTCACCCCCTCACCCCCTTGACAGCAACAGCCTGAACCCTACAGCCAGAAACCACCACCACCAAAGCCACAGCTCCCATAATCCACCTCCAGACCAGACTGCCGCCCACTACAGTTCTCCAAATCCTCCAAGTGAAACGCCTCCTGATCCGTATGTCAGAGTTTTGTTTTCTTCCTGTGTCTTGATGAAACTCAAGTATTTACTTTTATTGCATATGTTTACTTTTTAAGTCACTAAAACCAGTCCAGCAGTCCTAGTTTAAGTTTTAGTATGATTCCTCTGAACATGGTCTCAGGTCTAGCTTTGCGCTCTGATTGGTTGTTGTCTTGGCATTGTTGTGGCAGGAAGACGTTTGATGGGACAATCAGTCACTTCATGACAGGTTCTGGGAAGAGGATGATGGCGTATCGCAGGGCCGACGGCAGTTTGGTCCACATCGTTCCAGAACCTGAAGAGTGAGTCAAGTTCTGTGTAAATCATCATCATTATCAGTGGCTCTCCATGTTCAGGAATTTTGGCTAGTGTAAACTTAGATATATATTTAGACTGTTTTTCTGCTATCGATCTGCATCAGTTAACTTCAATCATTTCTTCATCGAAGCCATCAACCTGTCTATTAGACCCGATCCCAACTAGGCTGCTTAAAGAAGTTGTTCCCTTAATTGGCACTTCTTTACTGGATATGATTAATCTTTCTTTATTATCAGGATATGTACCACAGTCATTTAAAGTAGCTGTAATTAAACCCCTTCTTAAAAAGCCCACTCTTGACCCAGGGCTTTAAGCCAACTATAGACCAATCTCTAACCTCCCCTTCTTCTCTTAAGATTCTGGAGAAAGTAGTCGCCAAAGAGTTGTGTGACTTTCTACACAACAATAGTTTATTTGAGGATTTTCAGTCAGGATTTAGAGTTCATCACAGCACAGAGACAGCTCTGGTTAAAGTTAATAATGACCTTCTGATTGCTTCTGACAATGGACTTGTCTCTGTACTTGTATTATTAGATCTTAGTGCTGCATTTGACACCATTGACCATAATATTCTTTTACAGAGACTTGAGCATCAAATTGGCATTAAAGGAACCACACTAAGCTGGTTTAAGTCATATTTATCAGATCGTTCGCAGTTTGTAAATGTTAACGATGAATCTTCAATAAATACTACAGTTGGTCATGGAGTTCCACAAGGTTCTGTACTTGGACCAATACTATTTACTTTATACATGCTCCCTTTAGGCAACATTATCAGGAATCACTCCATTAACTTTCACTGTTATGCAGATGATACGCAGTTATATCTATCGATCAAGCCCGATGAGATTAATCAATTATCTAAATTACAAACATGTCTTAAGGACATAAAATCCTGGATGAGCTGCAATTTTCCGATGTTAAACTCAGAAAAAAATTAAATTCTTGTTCTTGGCCTCAAAAACCTTAGAGACTCACTGTCTAAAGATATAGTTACTCTAGATGGCATTACCTTGGCCTCTAGCACCACTGTCAAGAATCTTGGCGTTATCTTTGATCAGGATTTGTCTTTTAACTCCCACATGAAGGAGACCTCTAGGACCGCCTTCTTTCATTTACGTAATATTACAAAAATTAGACATATCCTATCACAGACAGATGCAGAAAAACTAATCCATGCATTTGTTACTTCAAGGCTGGATTACTGCAACTCTTTATTATCAGGTTGCCCCAATAAGTCCATTAAAACGCTCCAATTAATTCAGAATGCTGCAGCACGAGTACTGACAGGAACTATAAAAAGAGATCACATCTCTCCTGTACTAGCTTCTCTGCACTGGCTCCCTGTAAAATGTAGAATAGAATTTAAAATCCTCCTCCTCACCTATAAAGCTCTTCATGGTCAGGCCCCTTCATATCTTAAAGAGCTCATAGTACCCTATTACCCCTCTAGAACACTACGTTCTCTGAATGCTGGGCTACTTGTGGTTCCTATAGTCTCTAAAAGTAGAACAGGAGCCAGAGCCTTCAGTTACCAAGCTCCTCTCCTGTGGAACCAGCTTCCAGCTGTGGTTCGGGGGGCAGACACCCTCACCACATTCAAGAGTAGGCTTAAGACATTCCTCTTTGATAAAGCTTATAGTTAGGGCTGGATCAGGTGAGTCCTGAACCATCCCTTAGTTATGCTGCTATAGGCCTAGACTATCGGGGGATTTCCCATGGTGCACTGAGCTCCTCTCTTCCTCTCTCTTTCTGCAACATATTCATGTCCCATTAATGCATGTTACTAACTTCACTTCTTCCCCGGAGTTCTTGTGCTTTCTCGTCTCGAAGGTTCTTATTGATCCTGGTGGAGCCTCCTGCCATGGTCCTGCTAGATTGCCATTGCCAATACTGTTGTTGCTGTGCACCTGTCTGTGTCTCTCTCTCTCTCTCTCTCACCCCAACTGGTCGAGGCAGACAACCACCCACCTAGAGCCGAAGGATCTGTCCTAGGGTTCTGCCTTTTAACAGGCAGTTTTTCCTTGCCCTTGTCACCAAGTGCTTGCTCATGGTGGTACTGTTGGGTCTCTGTAAATGTTTTAAAGAGTTCGGTCTAGACCTACTCTATTTGAAAAGTGTCCTGAGATAACTTCTGTTATGAATTGGCGCTATACAAATTTTCAAAAAATTTAAATGAATTGAATTGAATAAAATTAAATAAAATAGAGTTTTTATTCACACTGGATCAAGTAGTAATGAATAATAATATTGTTCAAAAAAGAACAACTATTTTTGCAATTTTCATTCTCCCATAATTTCATTGCAAAAAACTGCCTGAAGTCACGACAACAACCTGAAGTTACGACAACAAGCATTGTTAGAATAACTGAAATCAGGAATGTTAGGCCACAACAATCCCAAACAAAGCCTGTGATATCGTAGAGGGAGTGATATATCAGACAGGTGTGACAGGTAGCTGATGGGTTTTATTCCCACAGGGAGGAGGAGCCTCTGTTCAAAGCAATTCGTGTTGGTGATGCAAACAAAGTGAAAGCGCTGGTGACATGCTCAGGAACAAACCTGATGCTACCGAATAAACCAGGTTGGCTCGCCATTCATCAGGCGGCATGGTATGGCCAGGACACTTGTCTGAGAGTGCTGCTGTCAGGTAGATATACAATATAAATATATAAGATATTCTGATATATGCACACACAAAGAAATCACAGTCCTCTGTCTGTTTCTGTGCTCAGCTCAGCCAGGGATGATCAACAAGCGAACGGAGCGCGGTGAGTCAGCATTGCTAGTTGCCATCAGCAAAGAGCGGCTGCAGTGTATTGAGGTACTGCTGGAGAGAGGAGCTGACCCAGACATCCCAAACTACGACCGAGAGACTCCGCTCTACAAAGGTAAAAATGGAAGTTGAATTTTTTTTAAATTAAATTTTATTTGTATAGTGCCAATTCATAACAGAAATTATCTCAGGACACTTTTCAAATAGAGCAGGTCTAGACCGAACACTTTATAACATTATTTACAGAGACCAACAGTACCACCATGAGCAAGACCTTGGCGACAAGGGCAAGGAAAAACTGCCTTTTAAAAGGCAGAAACCTAGGACAGATCCTCCGGCTCTAGGTGGGTGGTTGTCTGTCTCAACCAGTTAGGATGTGAGAGAGACAGAGAGAGAGAGAGAGAGACAGAGAGACAGACAGACAGACAGGTGCACAGCAACAACAGTATTGGCAATGGCAATCTAGCAGAACCATGGCAGGAGGCTCCACCAGGATCGATAAGAACCTGCGAGACGAGAAAGCACAAGAACTCTGGGGAAGAAGTGAAGTTAGTAACATGCATTAATGGGACATGAATGAGTGCAGAAAGAGAGAGGAAGAGAGAAGCTCAGTGCACCATGGGAAATCCCCTGATAGTCTAGGCCTATAGCAGCATAACTAAGGGATGGTTCAGGACTCACCTGATCCAGCCCTAACTATAAGCTTTATCAAAGGGGAATGTCTTAAGCCTACTCTTGAATGTGGTGAGGGTGTCTGCCCCCCGAACCACAACTGGAAGCTGGTTCCACAGGAGAGGAGCTTGGTAACTGAAGGCTCTGGCTCCTGTTCTACTTTTAGAGACTATAGGAACCACAAGTAGCCCAGCATTCAGAGAACGTAGTGTTCTAGAGGGGTAATAGGGTACTATGAGCTCTTTAAGATATGAAGGGGCCTGACCATGAAGAGCTTTATAGGTGAGGAGGAGGATTTTAAATTCTATTCTACATTTTACAGGGAGCCAGTGCAGAGAAGCTAGTACAGGAGAGATGTGATCTCTTTTTCTAGTTCCTGTCAGTACTCATGCTGCAGCGTTCTGAATTAATTGGAGTGTTTTAATGGACTTATTGGGGCAACCTGATAATAAAGAGTTGCAGTAATCCAGCCTTGAAGTAACAAATGCATGGATTAGTTTTCCTGCACCTGTCTGTGATAGGATGTGTCTAATTTTTGTAATATTACGTAAATGAAAGAAGGCAGTCCTGGAGGTCTGCTTTATGTGGGAGTTAAATGACAAATCCTGATCAAAGATAACTCCAGGATTCCTGACAGTGGTGCTAGGGGCCAAGGTAATGCCATCTAGAGTAACTATATCTTTAGACAGTGAGTCTCTAAGGTGAAGTGATGTCAGCATCCCAACAAACTGATTGGCATAACATCACAGCATCAGAGCCACAGTTCATCTGACATCACACGCACATGTAGTTTACTGGAGGAGGACAAGGTCTCCAAATTTTGGATGAAAATAAACCTCCAATATTCTCAGGACACAAAATTATGTTTTACTGCTTACCTTTATCCAAACATTTTTAAATAGGACTTTATTGGAATTTCTCTGCAGTAGAGGACAAAACTGAATACCAATCCAAAACCTATTATCAGAGTATCTGCCCCAAACACTTTCGCTCTCCATCCAGACCAACCTTCTGGACCTCCCACCAGTCTGGTGTTCTGTGTTGTCATACTGCCGGACCCTTCAGCAGAGACAGTGAACCACCAGATCTTTTTCTCTCCCCTACATGAACTGGTAGTCTGAGGGTACTCAGGGTCTCCCTGATCTCATCTGGCCTCATGGGGTACAGTCTGTGTCAGAACCTTGTAGCCTCACCACTGGAGTACCTCAGGGTTCTGTTCTGGTTCCCCTTCTCTTCCTCAGTGGATGTCTAATAATAATAATAATAATAATAATATTTTATGGTAACAGAAACAGTAAAGGAATGATCAGTAAAAAACTATAAACTCACCTGTTCAGACTGAAACATCTACATCTCTTATTGTTTCTAAATGTAGCACATTTGAAGAATTGTATGTACTGGTATGAACAATTGATGGGTTGTATCTTCATGGTCAGGGTTAACCCTAACCCTAGCCTCAGATAAATAAAAGTAATGTAATGATCTGCTTCTGATATTAAACTCAGAATATCCACTAAACTTCCCCACACCTGCAATCAGGTACCTGTTGATACCAAATATGCTGAGTTCTGATTTAGAATGACGGTTCAGTGTCTTTGTGATTATATCTCCAAAGGTCTTAAAAAGTAAAAATAAACCCCAGAAGGAAATCTTTTTTCTGATAAGCTGTCATTTGGATTTAGCAAAGCTGGAGGAGATAGTTTGGGTGGTCTGTTCCTTTAATAAACTTAAGTCTTTCTTTCTTATTCTGCAGCCTGTGAGAGGAACAGTGCTGCGATGGTGGCGGCACTGTTGAACCATGGTGCGGCAGTTAACACTCACTGTATTCAGGGTTGGACTGCCCTGCAGGAAGCTGTGTGCAGGAACAACATGGAGATCTGTGAGATGCTGCTGAAGGCTGGAGCCAAACACAACCTCACCAACATGTACGGCATCTCACCGCTCTTCACTGCGGCTCAGAGCGGGCAGCTCGCTGCGCTGCGCTTCCTCCTCAAACATGGTATGAGGAGGATCTAAGCATCCAAATATTCTCTGAAAACGTACTGCTCAATGTATATGTATTTATTGTATAAAGAGCAACTTAAAATCATGAAACACATCCATCCACATCCACTTTATGATATGTATCTATATTTTCTGACAGACTTGAGATACAGTTCAGTGTATTTGGGGTAAAAGTATATACACTGGAAATAAGGGAACACCTGGAACAGACTTTAGTCCCTGGTTCCTCTGATTGTAACACAACTAAAGTTATTCAAAAGGTTCTTTTTTTCCTGAAAAAGTGATGTCACGATATATTGACACACCTTTGAATGTCACTGTCAGTCACATCCTGGCCAGCTGGCTCCCTTGGTGCTCCTATAGGCAGTTGCGCACCGTCTCAACTCCGAAAACCTTGACGCACATTTTCAGTTCAAACTCACGAAACGGCACAGTTGATTTCTCTCCTCAAATGTTCTCAGAAGTGAATGTATGACAAATTAATGAAAAACTTCTGGTTGTTGGTCTATTTATTGTGATTGCTCCAGTCCTTTGCATTGTGGGATACGGTAAGAGAGTTAGACTGGTCTGACGCATACTGGACATTTTTTAGAATCAGTAAGACGTGGGTACTTTTGGCATACGGCAGATTTGACTTTTACTTGTATACTGGATAGTACACTTGTGTAGTACAGCAGTGGGTTTTCAACACAGCCTTCTTCTCCTGTGCTAACTACTGTTGCTACAAGCTAAAACCTTTATAAGTGCTCATTCAGAACTTGTTTTCATTTTGTCTGATATTGTCTCTGCCACGTTCAGAATGTGTCCTTTAGAAAAGGACTGACCCCTGACCCCTGACCCTTCCTGTGACCCTGCAGGTGCAGATATTAACAGTCAGGCTGCTGACGGAGCCACCGCTCTGTATGAAGCCGCTAAAAATGGACACGAAGAAGTTGTGGAGCTCCTCCTCTCTCAGAAGGCGGACGCCAACAAACCTGGAAAGACAGGGATTATTACCGCTCCACATCGCCGCCCAGAGAGGAAGTGACACGTACGTTCACTGTCTGTGTGGAGTCAGAACAAACATTTTATTGGTATAAAGGAGTGACAATACAGTATTACACTAATATATTGTTGTAGGAAATATTAATAATAATAATAAACAAATAAATATTGATCCGGGCAAACTGAAGTTATTCTGATCTAATTCCTGTGATGTTTCCTGTTTGCAGCATTGTCTCCATGTTGATCCAGGCCACCAGTAAGACCAGAGTCTGCCGGACTGGTATCAGTCCACTCCATCTTGCCGCTGAACGTAACCGTGACGACATCCTAGAGACTCTGATCGAGGCCGGCTTCGACGTCAACGCTCAGCTGTCTGTAGAACGATCAAAGCTATATGAGGACCGGCGCAGCACGGCGCTCTACTTCTCTGTCATTAACAACAACATCGACGCTGTGCGCATGCTGCTGGCAGCTGGCGCCAACCCGAACCTGGACGTGTTCAGGCCGCTGATGGTGGCGGCGAGGCTGGGCTGCATCCAGACCGTCACCTTGCTGGTGGAGCACGGTGCTGACATCAACGCCTGCATCCCCACACACCCCACCACCTTCCCCGCCGTTTACATGTTCTCTATGAAGTACCTGCCCATGTTCAAGTACCTACTGGACCACGGAGGCCACGCTCTCTCCTGCTTTGACTGTATCTATGGCAACCAACCTCATCCACCAGTCGAAACCAGCAGATTAGTGAGGGGTCACCTACGCTACAGTGACAGCAACTTGACAGACACGCAACAAATTAGAGGCGTTCAGGTGAATTTAAATGAGTCATCAAGAATGATGTGATTGATTATTCTGTTACTGATTGATTATTCTGTGACTGACAGTTCTGTGAGATGATCTCAGCCCCCAGTATCTGTCGGTGGGCGGGGCCAATCATTGATGTCCTATTGGACTACGTTGGTCATGTGCCTCTCTGCTCCAGACTGATGGAACACCTGAACAGTTACTCCGACTGGAGCGTGATCAAGGACAAAGCAGGTGAGTCAATAACTGATAATAAACTGGTAATTGATCAAGTGGTCCACCAGCATGCATCAGTGAAAAAAAGATTTCCAGTGATGTTACAGGTCTGTATAATATTTTACAGTGATGTTACTGGTTAGTGATGTCACTGGTATGTGTAATAGTTTCCAGTGATGTTACTGGTTTGTGTAATAGTTTCCAGTGATGTTACCGGTCTGTGTAATAGTTTCCAGTGATGTTACTGGTTAGTGATGTTACCAGTCTGTGTAATAGTTTCCAGTGATGTTACTTGTTAATGATGTTACTGGTTTGTGTAATAGTTTCCAGTGATGTCACCGGTCTGTGTAATAGTTTCAAATGATGTTACTGGTTTGTGTAATAGTTTCCAGTGATGTTACTGGCTTAGTGATGTTACCAGTCTGTGTAATAGCTTCTAGATCATAAACAACCGATCAGAGCTTTTATCTGAATTCACAGATTTACAGATTTACACTTTCTTAATAAGTTTATCAGTTAGTTAATCAGTCAATCAGCCCGGCAGGTAATCCGTAAGTCAACCTGTTACTTAACCAGCCAGTTAGTTTATTAGTTAATTCATCAGTTAGTTAGTCAACCAGTTAATTCATCAGTTAATCAGTTAGTTAGTCAACCAGCTAATTCATCAGTTAGTTAGTCAACAGGTTAATTTATCAGTTAATCAGTTAGTTAGTTAACCAGTTAATTCAGTGATGTTACTGGTTAGTGATGTTACCGGTCTGTGTAATAGTTTGCAGTGATGTTACTGGTTTGTGTGATTTTCTTCCAGCTCCTCCGCGGCCTCTCCTTCAGCTCTGCAGATTGCAGATAACAGAGCTGGTTGGATGTCAGCTGGTGAAGAAGTTACCACTGCCTGGAAGTCTGATCCGCTTCCTGAAACACCAGGAGGGACCTGTGGATGACTGCTGAATGCATATTATGTGAAAAAGTAAACAAAATCGCTGAAATAAAACAGAGAGTGTGGCAGACAATATCAGACTGACTGAATGTGGAAGTAGCCTAAAAATAAACCTTTATTTTACTATCCACTGCTTTAAACTGAAACTGTCATAATTAAATCATTCAAGGAGTTACTGTCCTTTACACAAATGAACAGTTGTACATTTAAAGTGGAGGTTCATATGTTACTCAGAAAACTGGTTTATTTGCTTTATGAAGTCAAATTAAAACAAAGTTTGGAATATTTCTGAGCGTGTTAAATAAATTAATTCGATTTTTGAAGTGAGTTGACAGACTAATTATTCATTACTTGCAGCTTTAAATATCATATGCCTTTACATATATATTCTTGATGAACACAATATACAAGTAACAATAATTATAGTCACAGTCTTAAAATGATAACAGTACTTAACTGAATGGCAGTAGTCCTACCTGTAGTATTTGAATGCAGTCTAACGAAAATAATGCAAATACAGACATAAAATGGAATTAGTGTAAAACCACACCGTGGTTTCTGATATAGTGACTGCTGACTGAAAGAACAGGAACAGGATTAATGAATCCCTGTTGTTAGTCTGGTCTGGATCAGGCTGCACAGAATAAATCTCAATGTGTCCAACTCTTCCTCACAGGTTAGTTAATGATGTTACTGAGTCAATGTCAGCAGATTGTGTCTGTAGATTGAAGAGAATCAGAGTCTCACTGATGGGGGAAATAAAGGTTTTACTTCCTTAAAACAGCCTTTTTTTTAATGGAGTTTGGTGTGACAGTGTGGAGCAGAGGGGATTTAAACCTTAATAATTCCCATAAACTGAACTCACCTACCTTTGAATAATGAATGATGAACAGACAGTTTCACTACTCAGTAGGTGTCCTACATCAGGAATGAATGGACATCCTGCAGCCAGTCAGAAGGAAATATTCACCCAGACAGTATAAACTCATATGAACTTCTATCAATCATCAGTTTTCCTGCATTATTACTGCTGTTTACCCGTTAACATATCTTTATTAAAGTCGGGTTGAAAAAGATTCTGTTTTGTTTTCATGCTGTTTGTTGTCACTATAAACGTTTGTTCACTGATTCAGCAGATTTTTACTTTCAAACTCTCAACATGTTTTACAGGTTGCAGTTTGTTCAATTAAATTATTTTATCTTTCAAACATGATGAAGATGATGTTCGTCTTCCTCTCAGCTCAGAATTTTTAATCACGTTGTCTCTGTGGGAACTGGTTTTCTCAAACAGGAAGTGATTAACTCTGTAAATCCAACAGAACAAACTAAACAAACAGAGATGTTTCCTGCTCGAACACAAACACACAAACTGAAGCTGTATTTTTAAACATACAAACACTTCCTGTTTCTGCAGAACAACCAGAGAGAAGAGAGGAAGAAAGTCGACCATCCAACATCCAGCTCACTGTGCTGGAAACAATAAGATAAAAGAACACGTGGAGACAGACATTTTATTTTGAAATGTATACATAATAGATATTTATGATGTCATAATAAATAAGAAGCTTCAGTTTCATTAAAAGTCAAACGTGTTCAGACTTTTATTTTGTAAATACTGCAGATTTCAATTTAAAATCATTGAATTTATTGATTTCAGTTTTGAGTAAAATTTAATATTGATAATTACATATGAAATACTCTTCAGATACGCTGATCACTGTGTGTAGAATTTAATATTTTGTATTAATCAGTGAACAGCTGTTGGGGTGGAAGATGAAGATGTTCAGGTCTTGGGACTCTGTCGTGATCTCTGGCGGTACTCTGGCAGGTGATGAAGGATCCAGGCAGCTGGAGTCAACATGGCCACCGCAAACACAGACATGACAAAGAAACTTTGCTGCCAGAGACCAAAAAAAAACAAAACAACCGATCAGAGCTTTTATCTGAATTCACAGATTACAGATTTACACTTTCTTAATTAGTTAATCAGTTAGTTAATCAGTAAATCAGCCCGGAAGTTAATCAGTTAGTAAACCTGTTACTTCACCAGCCAGTTAGTTTATTAGTTAATTCATCAGTTAGTTATATAGGCCTAGACTATCGAGGGATTTCCTATGATGCACTGAGCTCCTCTCTTCCTCTCTCTCTCTTTTTGCACTCATTCATGTCCCATTAATGCATGTTACTAACTTCACTTCGTCCCGGAGTTCTTGTGCTTTCTCGTCTTGCAGGTTCTCATGGATCCTGGTGGAGCCTCCTGCCATGGTCCTGCTTGACTGCCATTGCTAATATCACTGATATTAGTGTTATTATTACTATTATTAATAACATTATTACAACAGTTACTATTATTACTATTGTCACTGCTCATTGTTCCCAACCGTTGCTGTTGTTGTCATCATCATCTTCTTCATGTTCATCATCATCAGTCACTACTATTAGTGTAGTTGTTGCTGCTGTTGTTGCTGTGCACCTGTCTGTCTGTCTATCTCTCTGTCTCTCTGTCTCTCACCCCAACTGGTCGAGGCAGACAACCACCCACTTGGAGCCGGAGGATCTGTCCTAGGTTTCTGCCTCTTAAAAGGAAATGTTCCTTGCCCCTGTCTCCAAGGTCTTGCTCATGGTGGTACTGTTGGGTCTCTGTAAATAATGTTTTAAAGAGTTCGGTCTAGACCTGCTCTATTTGAAAAGTGTCCTGAGATAACTTCTGTTATGAATTGGCGCTATACAAATAAAATTGAATTGAATTGAATTGAATTACTCAACCAAAAAATTAATCAGTTAATCAGTTAGTTAGTCAACCAGTTAATTCATCAGTTAATCAGTTAGTCAATCAATCCATCAGTTAATTCACCAGTTAGTCAGTCAACCAGTTAATCCATCAGTTAGTTAGTCAACCTGTTAATTAATCAGTGAGTCAACAAGTTAATTCATCAGTTTTTCAGTTAACCAGTTAATTAGTCAGTTAATCAGTTAGTTACTCAACCAACCAATTAATTCATCAGTTAATCTGTTAGTTAGTCAACCTGTTAATTCATCAGTTAGTCAACCAGTTAATTCATCAGTTAGTCATCCAGTTAATTCATCAGTTAATCAGTTAGTTCGTAAACCAGTTAATTCATCAGTTAGTTTGTCAACCTGTTAATTCATCAGTTAGTTAGTCAACCAACCAGTTAATTCACAAGTTATTCAGTCAACAAGTTAATTCATCAGTTAGTTAGTCAACCTGTTAATTCATCAGTGAATCAATACTTTCAGAGATACATTGTGGTTGTGATCTTGTTTCTGTGTTACTTAAGTTAATCAGTTAGTGAATCAGGTTATCAATATCTTAGACTCACCGCGGCTCCGATCTTGTTGCGAGGGGGTTTGCTGTAGATCATCTTCTTTGTCTCCTTCAGGATTTCACTCGGACGAGTCAGAGTCGACACAGGAACATTTCCCATCTTCCTCAGAACGACACTGACCATCGTCACAGCAACCAACACCTGCTCACTGAGCAGCACCTGTCGGACTGTGATTGGCTGCTGAGATAATGTTTGTTCTGTTTGTTGATGATGATGATGATGATGATGGTGGTGGTGATGATGTGTTCACTTTGAGCCCCACAGTCAGAATGCATCTGGAGTCTGAAGACCACAGGAGGAGTTAGAGGAGGAGGAGGAAGCATAAGGGAAGGAGGAGGAGGAGGAGGAGGAGGAGGAGGAGGAGGAGGAAGCAGAAGGGGACGAGGGTGTGCTGGAGGGCCCAGCTAGTTGAACAGTCAGAAAGTTGTTAAATGATCAGAGACAGAAAATGTGACCAAAACTGGACAAATAAAAGTGACAGAAAAATGTTCTGAATGTATCAAAAGTCAGTAAGCAGTAAACAGTAAACAGGCAGTAAACAGGCAGTAAACAGTAAAAATAAGGAAACACGAAAAAGTAAACAGTCAGTAAACATTAAACAGTCAGGAAACAGTCAGGAAACGGTAAACAGTCAGGAAACAATCAGTAGACAGTCAGGAAACAGTAAACAGTCAGGAAACGGTAAACAGTTAGTAAACAATCAGTAGACAGTCAGGAAACAGTCAGTAAACGGTAAACAGTTAGTAAACATTAAACAGTCAGGAAACAGTCAGAAAACGGTAAACAGTTAGTAAACATTAAACAGTCAGGAAACAGTCAGTAAACGGTAAACAGTGAGAGCAGCTCAACAATACAGCTGATTAGATTTTGTGTGCAGAACAAACAGCTGATGGAAGATGAAGAGAGTTGATGTGTTTGATGTCAGAAACAGACCTGCTGGTTAAAATCTGTTCACTGTCAGACTGCAGTACTGTGTGTAGTACTGTATGTAGTACTGTGTGTAGTACTGTATGTAGTACTGTGTGTAGTAATGTGTGTAGTACTGTGTGTAGTACTGTATGTAGTACTGTGTGTAGTACTGTATGTAGTTGGTATAATGTGTGTAGTACTGTGTGTAGTACTGTATGTAGTACAGTGAGAACTGTATGTAGTACTGTGTGTAGTACTGTATGTAGTACTGTGTGTATTACTGTGTGTAGTACTGTATGTAGTACAGTGTGTAGTACTGTGTGTAGTACTGTGAGACTGTATGTAGTACTGTGTGTAGTACTGTGTATAGTACTGTGTGTAGTACTGTGTGTGGTACTGTAATAGTACTGTGTGTAGTACTGTGTGAACTGTATGTAGTACTGTATGTAGTACTGTGTGTAGTACTGTGTGTAGTACTGTATGTAGTACTGTATGTAGTACTGTGTGTAGTACTGTGTGTAGTACTATGTGAACTGTATGTAGTACAGTATGTAGTATTAGATCTTAGTGCTGCATTTGACACCATTGACCATACAATTCTTTTAGAGAGACTTGAGCATCAAATCTGCATTAAAGCAACCGCACTAAGCTGGTTTAAGTCATATTTATCAGATCGCTCGCAGTTTGTACATGTTAACGATGAATCTTCAATAAATACTACAGTTAGTCATGGAGTTCCACAGGGTTCTGTACTTGGACCAATTCTATTTACTTTATATATGCTCCCTTTAGGCAACATTATTAAGAATCACTCCATTAACTTTCACTGTTATGCAGATGATACGCAGTTATATCTATCAATCAAACTCAATGAAAGTAATCAATTATCTAAATTAAAAACATGTCTTAAGGACATAAAATCCTGGATGAGCTGCAATTTTCTGATGTTAAACTCAGAAAAAAACGAAATTCTTGTTCTTGGCCCCAAAAACCTTAGAGACTCACTGTCTAAAGATATAGTTACTCTAGATGGCATTACCTTGGCCTCTAGCACCACTGTCAGGAATCTTGGAGTTATCTTTGATCAGGATTTGTCATTTAATTCCCACATAAAGCAGACCTCTAGGACTGCCTTCTTTCATTTACGTAATATTACAAAAATTAGACACATACTATCACAGACAGATGCAGAAAAACTAATCCATGTATTTGTTACTTCAAGGCTGGATTACTGCAACTCTTTATTATCAGGTTGCCCCAATAAGTCCATTAAAACACTCCAATTAATTCAGAACGCTGCAGCACGAGTACTGACAGGAACTAGAAAAAGAGATCACATCTCTCCTGTACTAGCTTCTCTGCATTGGCTCCCTGTAAAATGTAGAATTGAATTTAAAATCCTCCTCCTCACCTATAAAGCTCTTCATGGTCAGGCCCCTTCATATCTTAAAGAGCTCATAGTACCCTATTACCCCTCTAGAACACTACGTTCTCTGAATGCTGGGCTACTTGTGGTTCCTATAGTCTCTAAAAGTAGAACAGGAGCCAGAGCCTTCAGTTACCAAGCTCCTCTCCTGTGGAACCAGCTTCCAGTTGTGGTTCGGGAGGCAGACACCCTCACCACATTCAAGAGTAGGCTTAAGACATTCCTCTTTGATAAAGCTTATAGTTAGGGCTGGATCAGGTGAGTCCTGAACCATCCCTTAGTTATGCTGCTATAGGCCTAGACTATCGGGGGATTTCCCATGGTGCACTGAGCTCCTCCCTTCCTCTCTCTTTCTGCACTCATTCATGTCCCTTTAATGCATGTTACTAACTTCACTTCTTCCCCGGAGTTCTTGTGCTTTCTCGTCTCGCAGGTTCTTATCGATCGGTAGTACTGTATGTAGGACTTTATGTAGTACTTTGTGTAGTACTTTGTGTAGTACTGTGTGTAGTACTGTGTGTAGTACTGTGTGTAGTACTGTATGTAGTACTGTGTGTAGTACTGTAAGAAGTACTGTGTGTAGTACTGTGTGTAGTACTGTATGTAGTACTGTGTGTAGTACTGTGTGTAGTACTGTGTGTAGTACTGTGTGTGAACTGTGTGTAGTACTGTGTGTAGTACTGTGTGTAGTACTGTGTGTAGTACTGGATGTAGTACTGTGTGTAGTACTGTATGTAGTACTGTGTGTAGTACTGTGTGTAGTACTGTGTGTAGTACTGGAGCTGTGTGTAGTACTGTGTGTAGTACTGTCTGTAGCACTGTATGTAGTACTGTGTGTAGTACTGTGTGTAGTACTGTATGTAGTACTTTGTGTAGTACTGTGTGTAGTACTGTATGTCTGTTGTTGCTGTGCACCTGTCTGTCTGTCTGTCTGTCTGTCGCTCTCTCTCTCTCTCTCTCTCTCTCTCTCTCTCTCTCTCTCTCTCTCTCTCTCACCCCAACTGGTCGAGACAGACGACCACCCACCTAGAGCCGGAGGATCTGTCCTAGGTTTCTGCCTTTTAACAGGCAGTTTTTCCTTGCCCTTGTCTCCAAGGTCTTGCTCATGGTGGTACTGTTGGGTCTCTGTAATTAATGTTAAAGAGTTCGGTCTAGACCTGCTCTATTAGGAAAGTGTCCTGAGATAACTTCTGTTATGAATTGGCGCTATACAAATAAAATTGAATTGAATTGAATTGAATTATGTAGTACTTTGTGTAGTACTGTGTGTAGTACTGTGTGTAGTACTGTGTGTAGTACTGTATGTAGTACTGTGTGTAGTACTGTAAGAAGTTCTGTGTGTAGTACTGTGTGTAGTACTTTGTGTAGTACTGTGTGTAGTACTGTGTGTAGTACTGTATGTAGTACTGTGTGTAGTACTGTGTATAGTACAGTGTGTAGTACTGTGTGTAGTACTGTGTGTAGTACTGTATGTAGTACTGTATGTAGTACTGTGTGTAGTACTGTATGTAGTACTGTGTGTAGTACTGTGTGTAGTACTGGATGTAGTACTGTGTGTAGTACTGTGAGAACTGTATATAGTACTTTGTGTAGTACTGTGTGTAGTACTGTATGTAGTACTGTGTGTAGTACTGTGTGTAGTACTGTGTGTAGTACTGTGTGTAGTACTGTGTGTAGTACTGTAAGTAGTACTGTGTGTAGTACTGTGTGTAGTACTATGTGAACTGTATGTAGTACAGTGTGTAGTACTGTGTGTAGTACTGTGTTTAGTACTGTATGTAGTACTGTATGTAGTACTGTGTGTAGTACTGTGTGTAGTACTGTGTTTAGTACTGTGTGTAGTACTGTGTGTAGTACTGTGTGTAGTACTGTGTGTAGTACTGTATGTAGTACTGTGTGTAGTACTGTGTGTAGTACTGGATGTAGTACTGTATGTGACTTTGTGTAGTACTGTGTGTAGTACTGTATGTAGTACTGTATGTAGTACTGTGTGTAGTACTGTAAGAAGTTCTGTGTGTAGTACTGTGTGTAGTACTTTGTGTAGTACTGTGTGTAGTACTGTGTGTAGTACTGTAAGTAGTACTGTGTGTAGTACTGTATGTAGTACTGTGTGTAGTACTGTGTGTAGTACTGGATGTAGTACTGTGTGTAGTACTGTGAAACTGTAGATACTGTGTGTAGAACTGTGTGTAGTACTGTGTGTAGTACTGTGTGTAGTACTGTGTGTAGTACTGTGTGTAGTACTGTGTGTAGTACTGTATGTAGTACTGTGTGTAGTACTGTGTGTAGTACAGTGTGTAGTACTGTGTGTAGTACTGTGTGTAGTACTGTGTGTAGTACTGTGTGTAGTACTGTGTGTACTGTATGTAGTACTGTATGTAGTACTGTGTGTAGTACTGTGTGTAGTACTGTGTGTAGTACTGTGTGTAGTACTGTAAGTAGTACTGTGTGTAGTACTGTGTGTGAGTACTATGTGAACTGTATGTAGTACTGTGTGTAGTACTGTGTGTAGTACTGTGTTTAGTACTGTGTGTAGTACTGTGTGTAGTACTATGTGTAGTACTGTGTTTAGTACTGTGTGTAGTACTGTGTGTAGTACTGTGTGTAGTACTGTGTGTAGTACTGTGTGTAGTACTGTGTGTAGTACAGTGTGTAGTACTGTGTGTAGTACTGTGTGTAGTACTGTGTGTAGTACTGTGTGTAGTACTGTGTGTAGTACTGTATGTAGTACAGTGTGTAGTACTGTGTGTAATACTGTGTGTAGTACTGTGTGTAGTACTGTGTGTAGTACTGTGTGTAGTACTGTGTGTAGTACAGTGTGTAGTACTGTGTGTAGTACTGTGTGTAGTACTGTGTGTAGTACTGTGTGAACTGTATGTAGTACTGTATGTAGTACTGTGTGTAGTACTGTATGTAGTACTGTGTGTAGTACTGTATGAAGTATTGTAGTACTGTGTGTAGTACTGTATGTAGTACTGTGTGTAGTACTGTGTGTAGTACTGTATGTAGTACTGTAAACTGTGTGTAGTACTGTGTGTAGTACTGTGTGTAGTACTGTGTGTAGTACTATGTGTAGACTGTATGTAGTACTGTGTGTAGTACTGTAGTGTGTAGTACTGTGTTTAGTACTATATGTAGTACTGTATGTAGTACTGTGTGTAGTACTGTGTGTAGTACTGTGTGTAGTACTGTGTTTAGTACTGTGTGTAGTACATTGTATAGTACTGTGTGTAGTACTGTGTGTAGTACTGTGAGTAGTAGTACTGTGTGTAGTACAGTGTGTAGTACTGTATGTAGTACTGTATGTAGTACTGTGTGTAGTAGTGTGTGTAGTACTGTGTGTAGTACTGTATGTAGTACTGTGTGTAGTACTGTAAGAAGTTCTGTGTGTAGTACTGTGTGTAGTACTTTGTGTAGTACTGTGTGTAGTACTGTGTGTAGTACTGTATGTAGTACTGTGTGTAGTACTGTGTATAGTACAGTGTGTAGTACTGTGTGTAGTACTGTAAGTAGTACTGTATGTAGTACTGTATGTAGTACTGTGTGTAGTACTGTATGTAGTACTGTGTGTAGTACTGTGTGTAGTACTGGATGTAGTACTGTGTGTAGTACTGTGAGAACTGTATATAGTACTTTGTGTAGTACTGTGTGTAGTACTGTATGTAGTACTGTGTGTAGTACTGTAAGTAGTACTGTGTGTAGTACTGTGTGTAGTACTGTGTGTAGTACTGTAAGTAGTACTGTGTGTAGTACTGTGTGTAGTACTATGTGAACTGTATGTAGTACAGTGTGTAGTACTGTGTGTAGTACTGTGTTTAGTACTGTATGTAGTACTGTGTGTAGTACTGTGTGTAGTACTGTGTGTAGTACTGTGTTTAGTACTGTGTGTAGTACTTTGTGTAGTACTGTGTGTAGTACTGTGTGTAGTACTGTAAGAAGTACTGTGTGTAGTACTGTGTGTAGTACTGTATGTAGTACTGTATGTAGTACTTTGTGTAGTACTGTGTGTAGTACTGTGTGTAGTACTGTATGTAGTACTGTGTGTAGTACTGTAAGAAGTTCTGTGTGTAGTACTGTGTGTAGTACTTTGTGTAGTACTGTGTGTAGTACTGTGTGTAGTACTGTATGTAGTACTGTGTGTAGTACTGTGTATAGTACAGTGTGTAGTACTGTGTGTAGTACTGTAAGTAGTACTGTATGTAGTACTGTATGTAGTACTGTGTGTAGTACTGTATGTAGTACTGTGTGTAGTACTGTGTGTAGTACTGGATGTAGTACTATGTGTAGTACTGTGTGAACTGTATATAGTACTTTGAGTAGTACTGTGTGTAGTACTGTGTGTAGTACTGTGTGTAGTACTGTAAGTAGTACTGTGTGTAGTACTGTGTGTAGTACTGTGTGTAGTACTGTATGTAGTACTGTGTGTAGTACTGTGTGTAGTACTGTATGTAGTACTGTATGTAGTACAGTGTGTAGTACAGTGTGTAGTACTGTGTGTAGTACTGTATGTAGTACTGTATGTAGTACTGTATGTAGTACTGTATGTAGTACTGTGTGTAGTACTGTGTGTAGTACTGTGTGTAGTACTGTATGTAGTACTGTGTGTAGTACTGTATGTAGTACTGTATGTAGTACTGTGTGTAGTACTGTGTGTAGTACAGTGTGTAGTACTGTGTGTAGTACTGTGTGAACTGTATGTAGTACTGTATGTAGTACAGTGTGTAGTACAGTGTGTAGTACTGTGTGTAGTACTGTGTGTAGTACTGTATGTAGTACTGTGTGTAGTACTGTGTGTAATACTGTGTGTAGTACTGTGTGTAGTACTGTATGTAGTACTGTATGTAGTACAGTGTGTAGTACTGTGTGTAGTACTGTGTGTAGTACTGTGTGTAGTACAGTGTGTAGTACTGTATGTAGTACTGTGTGTAGTACAGTGTGTAGTACTGTGTGTAGTACAGTGTGTAGTACAGTGTGTAGTACTGTGTAGTACAGTGTGTAGTACAGTGTGTAGTACTGTGTGTAGTACAGTGTGTAGTACAGTGTGTAGTACAGTGTGTAGTACTGTGTGTAGTACAGTGTGTAGTACAGTGTGTAGTACTGTGTGTAGTACAGTGTGTAGTACAGTGTGTAGTACAGTGTGTAGTACAGTGTGTAGTACTGTGTGTAGTACTGTGTGTAGTAGTGTGTAGTACAGTGTGTAGTACAGTGTGTAGTACAGTGTGTAGTACTGTGTGTAGTACAGTGTGTAGTACAGTGTGTAGTACTGTGTGTAGTACAGTGTGTAGTACAGTGTGTAGTACAGTGTGTAGTACAGTGTGTAGTACTGTGTGTAGTACAGTGTGTAGTACTGTGTGTAGTACTGTGTGTAGTACTGTGTGTAGTACTGTGTGTAGTACTGTGTGTAGTACAGTGTGTAGTACAGTGTGTAGTACTGTGTGTAGTACAGTGTGTAGTACAGTGTGTAGTACAGTGTGTAGTACAGTGTGTAGTACTGTGTGTAGTACTGTACAAGAGGAAACAGACTCTTGATAATTAACATAAAAAGTACATTTACTACAGTAATTACTGCTTTTAGCTACTTTAATATTTCCATTCTTCTTCTTCATTTTACGCACTGACTTTTGAATGAACTGAGTCATTATATGTGTATGTGGAAACACTGGTGAGATAATCTTATACTGTTTTATCACCTTTATTTGTAGTGTTATTGACCCTGTGAGTCTAACTGACATAAAACACATTATTATCCTGTGACCTCACAGATATGAAAGGAAAAAACGCAGTTATTAATAACTTATGTTTTCTGGTTGTTTGTTTCAGTTTAAAGGTTCCATATGTCAGATTGTAGTTAACTGTATGAATGAGTGTTTATCAGAGTGAAGTCTTATTTCTGTTTCTGTTTGTACGTCTCAAGTGTCTTATTTGACCTTTCCTCACTCTACCAGCTAATGTTAGCTTACAAATGGAGTCCGCTAACGTCTACGAACGACCGACCCCCACTACAACACAGAGTCCAACACAGAGTCCACCAGAGTCCAACACAGAGTCCAACACAGAGTCCACCACAGAGTCCACAACACAGAGTCCAACACAGAGTCCACCAGAGTCCAACACAGAGTCCAACACAGAGTCCACCACAGAGTCCAACACAGAGTCCAACACAGAGTCCATAACACAGAGTCCACAACACAGAGTCCACAACACAGAGTCCAACACAGAGTCCACCACAGAGTCCAACACAGAGTCCATAACACAGAGTCCAACACAGAGTCCAACACAGAGTCCACACACAGAGTCCAACACAGAGTCCATAACACAGAGTCCACAACACAGAGTCCACAACACAGAGTCCACAACACAGAGTCCAACACAGAGTCCAACACAGAGTCCACAACACAGAGTCCAACACAGAGTCCACCACAGAGTCCAACACAGAGTCCATAACACAGAGTCCACAACACAGAGTCCACAACACAGAGTCCATAACACAGAGTCCAACACAGAGTCCACAACACAGAGTCCACCACAGAGTCCAACACAGAGTCCATAACACAGAGTCCATAACACAGAGTCCAACACAGAGTCCACAACACAGAGTCCATAACACAGAGTCCAACACAGAGTCCACAACACAGAGTCCACCACAGAGTCCAACACAGAGTCCATAACACAGAGTCCACAACACAGAGTCCACAACACAGAGTCCATAACACAGAGTCCAACACAGAGTCCACAACACAGAGTCCAACACAGAGTCCAACACAGAGTCCACAACACAGAGTCCACAACACAGAGTCCAACACAGAGTCCATAACAACCAGAGTCCACAACACAGAGTCCACAACACAGAGTCCACAACACAGAGTCCACAACACAGTCCACAACACAGTCCACAACACAGAGTCCAACACAGAGTCCAACACAGAGTCCACAACACAGAGTCCAACACACAGTCCACAACACAGAGTCCACAACACAGAGTCCAACACAGTCCACAACACAGAGTCCACAACACAGAGTCCAACACAGTCCACAACACAGAGTCCAGCACACAGTCCACAACACAGAGTCCAACACAGAGTCCACAACACAGAGTCCAACACACAGTCCACAACACAGTCCACAACACAGAGTCCAACACACAGTCCACAACACAGAGTCCAACACACAGTCCACAACACAGAGTCCAACACAGAGTCCACAACACAGAGTCCACAACACAGAGTCCACAACACAGAGTCCAACACAGAGTCTACAACACAGAGTCCAACACAGAGTCCACAACACAGAGTCCACAACACAGAGTCCACAACACAGAGTCCAACACAGAGTCCACAACACAGAGTCCAACACAAAGTCCAACACAGAGTCCACAACACAGAGTCCAACACAAAGTCCAACACAGAGTCCAACACAGAGTCCACAACACAGAGTCCAACACAGAGTCACATAACATAATTTGTCTGATGGATAATGTCAGCTTGGTTGCTAACTATCAAGCTAATGTACCACAATACTTTCAGCCAGCTTCACCCAGACACCAGCGGCTGATCTGGTTTGAAATATTATCAGACTCCATGTTGTTAATTCAGCTTATTGAGTTTTATTAGTTTTCATTAAAAATGAAACACAGTTAATGTTAAAAACAGGAAGTCTTAGAGGTTCAAAATTAACTGCAGATAAAAACTTTAAATGTCCAGAAAATCCACAACACCAACAGGAGACAACAGGAAACAGGAAGAAGATGAAGTCAGGAGGTCAAGAAAGGTCAAAGGGAGTTTCAACATTAATTGGAGGTCAAAGGTCCTCAGGTGGAATAGAAGGGTCCGGCGTCGTCTCGCCGCCTCTTACGATTCTGCTGCTGTTCGAAGAACTGACGGATGTCATCAGGAGTCACGACCTATCAGAGAACAATCACATGACATCAGCTGGTATTGTACACATGACATAAACTCAAGTATTGATCAGTTCACACCAATAGGCTGATTGGAGATCAGTCAGAAAGCTGCAGTCAGTCAAACAGTTTCCTTTAAAGAATAAAGTCACAGAAATGTTTACTTCCTGTTAAATCATTTGTAGGCTGTCTGTAGTTTTTAGACCACGTTCAGATTTTTAAATAAACTTTGTTAATATAATCAACCAATATTCCCATCACGCACTGGGTCCTAAGGTTATCGTTGGCCACGTGTGCACGATGTCAGAGCGGGTCAGCGTCAAGCTGGACAAAGATCTACCCAGCATGCATTGCGAGGGCATATAAATCTTCCTCCACGAGCCTAACCGTTGATAGATCATCTGCAGCTGAAACAGTTCATTCAATAAACACTCAGTATCCCACAATGCAACATAAGAAGCAATATTCAATCAGTGAGTCCTCTGTACTTCTTCCTGTGGATCAAACACACGTAAAAGGTCAAAGGTCATCTTCAGTCTCAAACTCACTTTTCCTTCAGCAGCAAATCTCTGCAGGAAGTCCTTGAGTTCGCTCTTCATGTCGTTATAACCTGAAACACACAGAGAACTGCAGTAGTAGTAGTACTGTGAGTACTGGGTGTAGTACTGTATGTAGTACTATATGTAGTACTATATGTACTGTGTGTAGTACCATATGTAGTACCATATGTACTGTGTGTAGTACTATATGTACTGTGTGTAGTACTATATGTACTGTGTGTAGTACCATATGTAGTACCATATGTACTGTATGTAGTACTATATGTACTGTGTGTAGTACTATATGTACTGTGTGTAGTACCATATGTAGTACCATATGTACTGTGTGTAGTACTATATGTACTGTGTGTAGTACCATATGTAGTACCATATGTACTGTGTGTAGTACTATATGTACTGTGTGTAGTACTATACACTGTGCACAATTATTAGGCAAGTGAGTATTTTGGCCATATCATAATTTTTATGCATATTTTCCAACTTCAAGCTGTATAAACTTGAGTGCTTATTGGATTTAAGCATACCAGGTGATGTGTATTTGCGTAATGAGTGAGGGTGTGGCCTAAGGAGATCAACACTCTATATCAAGGTGTGCATAATTATTAGACAGCTTCTCTTCCTCAGGCAAAATGGGCCAAAAAAGAGATTTAACAGACTCTGAAAAGTCAAAAATTGTAGAAAGTCTTTCAGAGGGATGCAGCACTCTTGAAATTGCTAAGATATTGGGGCGTGACCACAGAACCATCAAACGTTTTGTTGCAAATAGCCAACAGGGTCGCAAGAAACGTATTGAGAAAAAAGACGCAAATCAACTGCCAAAGATTTGAGAAGAATCAAACGTGAAGCTACCAGGAACCCATTATCCTCCAGTGCTGCCATATTCCAGAACTGCAACCTACCCAGAGTGCCCAGAAGTACAAGGTGTTCAGTGCTTACAGACATGGCCAAAGTAAGGAAGGCTGAAACCCGACCACCACTGAACAAAACACACAAGTTGAAACGTCAAGACTGGGCCAAGAAATATCTGAAGACAGATTTTTCAAAGGTTTTATGGACTGATGAGATGAGAGTGACTCTTGATGGACCAGATGGATGGGCCCGTGGCTGGATCAGTAACGGACACAGAGCTCCACTTTGACTCAGACGCCAGCAAGGTGGAGGTGGGGTACTGGTATTGGCTGGTATTATTAAACATGAGCTAGTTGGACCTTTTCGGGTTGAAGATGGCCTAAAATCAACTCCCAAACCTACTGCCAGTTTTTAGAAGACACTTTCTTCAAGAAGTGGAACAGGAAAAAGTCTGCATCTTTCAAGAAGACCATGGTTTTTATGCAGGACAATGCTCCATCGCATGCATTGAAGTACTCCACTGCATGGCTAGCCAGTAAAGGCCTTAAGGATGAAAAAAAATTTAAAAAAATAATAATAATGTTTATTTGTAAATTTTGAGTTGTTTTATTATTCTCACTTTAACAGATGAAAATATGCAACTAAATGAAAAAACAAAAATTTTCCCATCTCACTTGTTTAATAATTCTGCACACTAATAGTTGCCTAATAATTCTGCACATATATATATTCTCTTAAGAAAGACAAAACCAAAATCACTTTTACTTTCTTAAACATTCAGGTTTAGGTTCATTAACATTTTGGATTGACCGAGAGCACTGTAGTTGTTCAATAATAAAATGAATCCTCAAAAATATAACTTGCCTAATAATTGTGCACACAGTGTATGTAGTACTATATGTAGTACTACATGTACTGTATGTAGTACTATATGTACTGTGTGAACTCTATGTAGTACTATATGTACTGTGTGTACTATATGTAGTACTATATGTACTGTATGTAGTACTACATGTACTGTATGTAGTACTATATGTACTGTGTGAACTATATGTAGTACTATATGTACTGTATGTACTGTATGTAGTACTATATGTAGTACTAGTACCATGGATGATCTCGAGCTGCTGCACACGGTTCAGGTTGTCCAGTGCTGACATCAGGGGGTCGTGACCTCGCTGTGTCTGCTCATTGCTCTTCCCTTTGTGCTCGTAGGCGAGGACGGTGTCAGACTCGTCCAACAGGAAGGACAGACCGGCGGCAGACAGATTTTCCTGAGGAAGCACAGATGCTCGACGTGACCACACCGTTACATCATCAGTGCTTCAGCCAATAGGAGCTCAGACAGGTGAACATTACCTGGCAGCTGCTGCAGAAACAGAGTTTGGAGCGCCACGCTGACGGCCAGAATACGGCCCCTGATTGGTCCCTTTTCTGACCAATCGCACTGAGCTCTTTCAGTTGGCAGCTTGACTCCACCTCCTCACGGCTCCTCTTACAGCTGGGCTGGATGACCTCATCATCCTGACAGATTATTGATTATTAATCAATTACATGGATTAAACTGACAGGTTGGTATTTGATTAGGTTGATTTTAATGCAGTTATTGTCACTTTGGATAAATCAATGTAACTACTGATACCTGTTGTCGTATTAAACCTGTTGTTACCATGGTAACCCCATGAAATGTGAGGAACACATCAGATCAATACTCTCACCTTTTCCTTTTTGTTTGTGTTTGAGTCTTCTGTTTCCTCCTTCACCTGTACTGCTGCACCTGGAACTGAACAGGAAGTACAATTAATTCATATCTTAAAGAGCTCATAGTACCCTATTACCCCTCTAGAACACTACGTTCTCTGAATGCTGGGCTACTTGTGGTTCCTATAGTCTCTAAAAGTAGAACAGGAGCCAGAGCCCTCAGTTACCAAGCTCCTCTCCTGTGGAACCAGCTTCCAGTTGTGGTTCGGGAGGCAGACACCCTCACCACATTCAAGAGTAGGCTTAAGACATTCCTCTTTGATAAAGCTTATAGTTAGGGCTGGATCAGGTGAGTCCTGAACCATCCCTTAGTTATGTTGCTATAGGCCTAGACTATCGGGGGATTTCCCATGGTGCACTGAGAGAGAGAGAGAGAGAGAGAGAGAGAGAGAGAGGGAGACAGAGACAGAGAGACAGACAGACAGACAGGTGCACAGCAACAACAGTATTGGCAATGGCAATCTAGCAGGACCATGGCAGGAGGCTCCACCAGGATCGATAAGAACCTGCGAGACAAGAAAGCACAAGAACTCCGGGGAAGAAGTGAAGTTAGTAACATGCATTAATGGGACATGAATGAGTTGCAGAAAGAGAGAGGAAGAGAGGAGCTCAGTGCATCATGGGAAATCCCCCGATAGTCTAGGCCTATAGCAGCATAACTAAGGGATGGTTCAGGACTCACCTGATCCAGCCCTAACTATAAGCTTTATCAAAGAGGAATGTCTTAAGTCTACTCTTGAATGTGGTGAGGGTGTCTGCCTCCAGAACCACAACTGGAAGCTGGTTCCACAGGAGAGGAGCTTGGTAACTGAAGGCTCTGGCTCCTGTTCTACTTTTAGAGACTATAGGAACCACAAGTAGCCCAGTATTCAGAGAACATAGTGTTCTAGTGGGGTAATAGGGTACTATGAGCTCTTTAAGATATGAAGGGGCCTGACCATGAAGAGCTTTATAGGTGAGGAGGAGGATTTTAAATTCAATTCTACATTTTACAGGGAGCCAATGCAGAGAAGCTAGTACAGGAGAGATGTGATCTCTTTTTCTAGTTCCTGTCAGTACTCGTGCTGCAGCGTTCTGAATTAATTGGAGCATTTTAATGGACTTATTGGGGCAACCTGATAATAAAGAGTTGCAGTAATCCAGCCTTGAAGTAACAAATGCATGGATTAGTTTTTCTGCATCTGTCTGTGATAGTATGTGTCTAATTTTTGTAAGGGTAGGGTTCAGAGGTCTCTGCCTCTTAAAAGGCACTTTTTCCTTGCCCTTGTCGCCAAGGTCTTGCTCATGGTGGTACTGTTGGGTCTCTGTAAATAATGGTATAAAGGAGTTCGGTCTAAACCTGCTCTATTTGAAAAGTGTCCAGAGATAATGTCTGTTACGAATTGACGCTTTATTGAAATTAAAAATTGAATCACACCCACAGGAAGTACATGATTCCACTGGGTTCCGATGCTGGTATCAGTGAGCAGTGTGAGGTGAACAGGAGGATGTACCTGCCAGGTGAGCGGCGTAGGTCCAGAGGAAAGGGTTTTTGTTCATACAGGATTCACAGATCATCTCTTGCAGCTCCACACAGTCTGGAACCAAACAGCCCAGGTGCTGTAAACACAAACAGCTTCAGTGTCGGCCAGCAGGGGGCGGTACAACAGCTTTATTTACCGTCTTCCTGCACCGGTACTGTTACCGGTACTGTTACCGGTACTGTTACGAACCGGGTGGCTGATCGCACTGATCTGACTAATCAGAAGGTTGGTGGTTCGATACCCGACTCCTCTGGCTCCATGTCGAAGTGTCCTTGAGCAAAATACTAAACCTTAAATTACTCCCGGATTGGTGTGTGAATGAATGAATGAATGAATGAATGAATGAAGGAATGATTGATTGATTAGTTTCTGTTCTGATGAGCCGCGGCCATCAATGAATAAATGAATGAATGAGTGAGTGAGTGAATGTAGCACGTACAGAGCATTAAGTGGTCGTGAGTGTTCGACTCACCCTGCCGTGCAGCCAGTCCTCACACACCACACACTGAATCATCTCATCCTCCACCTGGATACAGAACAGACAAAGTTAATGAAGGAACCAGCACACACCTGGTGGACAGGTGAGGGTCAGCTGAGGGTCTCACCTGGTCGTCTGGGTCTGGGTAAGGCCGGCTGCAGGTACAATAGACCCCAAAGAAATTGTGACTGTATTTGTTCAGACTGTTGACCTCGTCCTTCTCCTGAAACACACACAGAGACGGTGAGTTGTACCTGTCGCTGTGTCTCCAGCTGCTCCTCCACTCAGTTTGTTTATGGTTTGTTTGTTTTGTGACAATATGACAGAGAACAACATCAGATCGTTGACCAACAGCTCACCTGTCCTCTACCTGGGAACCAGGAAAAGAGGACTTTGTTCTGCTCCTGTTTTTAATTTTTATGTCAATGAAACTTAACATGAATCACAGCAGAGGAGATAATGGAACTCATGTGTTGTTGTTGTTGTTGTTGTTAGTTATGAGGTGTTGTGTACTCACCGGGTAGAGTTTACACTGCAGCTCTGTGAACTTCCTGTTTCCACAGTCACAGCGGAAGTTCCTGCAGAAACCACAGAAGAAGAGTGAGTCAGAAATGTTCAATATCAGCTGATCACTTCTGATGTTTAATGATCAATATGTTTGAATCAATATGTTTGATAGGCAGTGTGTGTGAATCAATATGTTTGATAGGCAGTGTTTGTGAATCAATATGTGTGATAGGCAGTGTGTGTGAATCAATATGTTTGATAGGCAGTGTGTGTGAATCAATATGTGTGATAGGCAGTGTGTGTGAATCAATATGTGTGATAGGCAGTGTGTGTGAATCAATATGTGTGATAGGCAGTGTGTGTGAATCAATATGTTTGATAGGCAGTGTGTGTGAATCAATATGTTTGATAGGCAGTGTGTGTGAATCAATATGTGTGATAGGCAGTGTGTGTGAATCAATATGTTTGATAGGCAGTGTGTGTGAATCAATATGTGTGATAGGCAGTGTGTGTGAATCAATATGTTTGATAGGCAGTGTGTGAATGTCGACCTCTTGGTGTAAAGTTCGAAGAGGTCATGACCTTCATGACATTTGTATGAACAGGCCAGACACACGCCCGCCGCCTCGCCGCCCTTCGGTGTGCACGTGTTACAGGCGTACAGAGCCTGTCGCTTCACGTAGCCCTGAAATACACACACACACACACACACACACACACACACACAGTAACACACAACAATAACAATAATAACATTAATAATAGTAATAATAACATTAATAACAATAATAATAATAATAATCACATTAATAATAATAATAACAATAATAACAACATTAATAACAATAATAACATTTATAACAATAATAATTACATTAATAACAATAATAATAACAATAATAGTAACATTAATAACATTAGTAACAATAATAACATTAATAACAATAATAACGTTAATAATAATAATAACATTTATAACAATAATAATTACATTAATAACAATAATAATAACAATAATAGTAACATTAATAACATTGTAACAATAATAACATTAATAACAATAATAATAACAATAATAACATTAATAATAATAACAATAATAACTAATAATAATAATAACATTTATAACAATAATAATTACATAATAACAATAATAAACAATAATAATAACATTAATAACATTAGTAACAATAATAACATTAATAACATTAATAACAATAATAATAACAATAATAACATTAATAATAATAATAATAATAACATTAATAATAATAACAATAATAACAATAATAACAAAAAATAATAACATTAATAATAATAACAATAATAATAACAATAATAACATTAATAATAATAATAATAATAATAATAATAATAATAATAATAACCTGAGGATATGAGCAGTGATCAGAGTCACTTCCTGCTAAAACAGCTGAAGCTTCTTCCTCCAATTCCTCATCTTCCTCCAGAACATCAACCAGAGACACAGTCTGCTCCTCCGACATCCTCCTGATCAATAAACAGATTATTGATTACTGGTTGTACTGTCTGCTCCTCCGACATCCTCCTGATCAATAAACAGATTATTGATTACTGATTGTACAGTCTGCTCCTCCGACATCCTCCTGATCAATAAACAGATTATTGATTACTGATTGTACTGTCTGCTCCTCCGACATCCTCCTGATCAATAAACAGATTATTGATTACTGATTGTACTGTCTGCTCCTCCGACATCCTCCTGATCAATAAACAGATTATTGATTACTGATTGTACTGTCTGCTCCTCCGACATCCTCCTGATCAATAAACAGATTATTGATTACTGATTGTACTGTCTGCTCCTCCGACATCCTCCTGATCAATAAACAGATTATTGATTACTGATTGTAATGTCTGCTCCTCCGACATCCTCCTGATCAATAAACAGATTATTGATTACTGATTGTACTGTCTGCTCCTCCGACATCCTCCTGATCAATAAACAGATTATTGATTACTGGTTGTACAGTCTGCTCCTCCGACATCCTCCTGATCAATAAACAGATTATTGATTACTGATTGTACTGTCTGCTCCTCCGACATCCTCCTGATCAATAAACAGATTATTGATTACTGATTGTACTGTCTGCTCCTCCGACATCCTCCTGATCAATAAACAGATTATTGATTACTGGTTGTACAGTCTGCTCCTCCGACATCCTCCTGATCAATAAACAGATTATTGATTACTGATTTTACTGTCTGCTCCTCCGACATCCTCCTGATCAATAAACAGATTATTGATTACTGATTGTACTGTCTGCTCCTCCGACATCCTCCTGATCAATAAACAGATTATTGATTACTGGTTGTACAGTCTGCTCCTCCGACATCCTCCTGATCAATAAACAGATTATTGATTACTGGTTGTACTGTCTGCTCCTCCGACATCCTCCTAATCAATAAACAGATTATTGATTACTGGTTGTACAGTCTGCTCCTCCGACATCCTCCTAAACAAACAAATTAATGTTTACGGTTTGTCTGATCAGTAAACAATAATCAATAAGTCTCAGTCTGAACAAACTGCCATCTGAAGTGTGATTCTATTGATTATTGATTGTACAGCCGTTATTGACTGTAGCAAACGTGATCACAACACAAACAGCGCCACCTTCATTCTGCGTGTATCGATCAGTGTGATAAGAAAACAATCAATATATCGTCCGTTTTAAACCAGACGTCAGTTAGCATCGTGCTAATGCTCGTGCTAATGCTAACTGCTAGCTCGGTGAATAAAAGCTTACCGAGTCGAACCGGAACCGAACCGGAACCGAACCGGGACCTTCACAGCGTACGCTCCGCGTGTAACCAGCCAATAACCGGGTCAATAACGACCAATAATCCGCTTCTTCTGATCAGCTGATCAGATCTTTGTTATCAAACCGCGAGCTGCCGATAACCCTAACTACAACTTCCGGTTTATTTCCGCAGATCGTATTTGGCGGCATACCGGGGTCAGAGGTCACCGAGTTTAAAACCAGAAATCAAACTAATAAAGAGATTTAATTCCAATAATAACGTTTATTCCGGTTATTAAAGATTATTGATCCTTCTCATCACTAATGATGGTGCCTTCAGGGACCGTCAGTGATCTTTTAGTTCATGTTTGCATAAAAAAACCGGAAAACTTAGTCATTGAATTTCCCTCGGGATAAATAAAGTATCTATCTATCTATCTATCTATCTATCTATCTATCTATCTATCTATCTATCTATCGTGAGCTTTGTGATTAAAGGCGGACTAAAGAGAAATATATCTAGAATACTTTATTTCTGCATTAGTTCATTCCTCAGTAGCGTAATTTCCGGAGGGTTCCTGAAGGCAGCAGACCGTGCATCCTGACGTCAGGCTGCAGTGAAGATGGCGGCTGTCTCTGCAGAGCTGAAGTTCAGAGACGGGATGAGAGAGACAGTCAGCGTTCAAGTACAAAGTAATCTGAGTTCTCTGATCAACGGAGTTCACGAGCTGAACCAGAACGTATCACGACTTCTGAGCGCGCTGGTGGAGCGGGAAAAAGCCCGCGGAGACTGCGCAGACGGTGAGCTAACTGAAGCTAACTGTTAGCTGTTCTGTGAGACAACAACAGGTTTTATGATTCACCTGTTTCACCTGCTGCAGGTGAGGAGGAGGAGGAGGAGGAGGAGGAGGAGGAGGAGGAGGAGGAGCCAGAGGATCCTCAAAAGTCTAAACCTGAACCTCCAGCTAAAAGATCCAAAACCTGAGACACCTGAGGACTCTGAGACGTGATGACGTCACTGTTTTACCTGTTTGAAGTGAAGAATGACGTCAGGTGATCAGTCACATGATTGATTTGCCTTGATGAAAGCTGCTTTAGGTGTGTGTGTGTGTGTGTGTGTGTGTGTGTGTGTGTGAGAGAGAGAGAGAGAGTGTGTGTGTGTGTGTGTGTGTGAGAGAGAGAGAGACTCGGTTAAAGAGTAAAAAATAAAGTGTCTGTCATAAGTCTGCCTCTTCTAATCGATCAGTTAAAGTATCAATTAGTTTGATAAAAAGTGATGATAAATATATATAATTTAGTTATCAAAACATTTCTGATGGGCGAAAACATGTTATTGCAATAATATGGAAATAACACTAATAATACTACAATAATACTGAAATAATACTGAAATAATACTGAAATAATACTAATAATACTACAATAATACTGAAATAATACTGAAATAATACTAATAATACTACAATAATACTGAAATAATACTAATAATACTGAAATAATACTGATAATACTACAATAATACTGATACTACAATAATACTGAAATAACACTAATAATACTACAATAATACTGAAATAATACTAATAATACTGAAATAATACTAATAATACTACAATAATACTGAAACTACAATTATACTGAAATAATACTAATAATACTACAATAATACTGATACTACAATAATACTGAAATAATACTAATAATACTACAATAATAGTGAAATAATACTAATAATACTACAATACTAATAATACTGAAATAATACTAATAATACTACAATAATACTAATAATACTGAAATAACACTAATAATACTACAATAATACTGAAATAATACTAATAATACTGAAATAATACTAATAATACTACAATAATACTGATACTACAATAATACTGAAATAATACTAATAATACTACAATAATACTGATACTACAATAATACTGAAATAACACTAATAATACTACAATAATACTGAAATAATACTAATAATACTACAATAATACTGAAACTACAATAATACTGAAATAATACTAATAATACTACAATAATACTGATACTACAATAATACTGAAATAATACTAATAATACTACAATAATAGTGAAATAATACTAATAATACTACAATAATACTAATAATACTGAAATAATACTAATAATACTAAAATAATACTAATAATACTGAAATAATACTAATAATACTACAATAATAGTGAAATAATACTAATAATACTGAAATAATACTAATAATACTACAATAATACTGATACTACAATAATACTGAAATAATACTAATAATACTACACTAATACTGATACTACAATAATACTGAAATAACACTAATAATACTACAATAATACTGAAATAATACTAATAATACTGAAATAATACTAATAATACTACAATAATACTGAAACTACAATAATACTGAAATAATACTAATAATACTACAATAATACTGATACTACAATAATACTGAAATAATACTAATAATACTACAATAATAGTGAAATAATACTAATAATACTACAATAATACTAATAATACTGAAATAATACTAATAATACTAAAATAATACTAATAATACTGAAATAATACTAATAATACTACAATAATAGTGAAATAATACTAATAATACTACAATAATACTAATAATACTGAAATAATACTAATAATACTAAAATAATACTAATAATACTGAAATAATACTAATAATACTACAATAATACTAATAATACTGAAATAATACTAATAATACTAAAATAATACTGATAATACTGAAATAATACTAATAATACTACAATAATAGTGAAATAATACTGAAATAATACCAATAATACTACAATAATAGTGAAACTGAGTTCACACCGGGGTGCCGGCCAGAACACCAACTTAAGGCTAATTAATGCTCAGAGGTCCACAATGAAGAAGCAGGTGATGGATAGTGCAGGTGGTTTAATATCCTCTTGCTGGCAATGAGGTCATGTGGTTCTTTTTCCATCCACGCACAGACCACTTGCCGTGGCGTTAATTGTTAATTGAACCGTGAATCCCTCACTCTGCCGTCTCACCGGAGCACACACCTCTCTGACCAAGTACCGTCAGTTACGCTATATAACCAGCAGGGGGGGCGCTCTTATATGAGCTGACCAACACTACATCTATGAAATCACACACTAAACATAATATGTCCCAACTTTGGGGCCTTTTCTACACGGGCAGTCCCCCTCCTTTCTTCATGCCGGTCGCGGTGGTGTCCCTGTCGGCTCGAACCGTCTGGAAGCCGGGAATGGTGACGATGGAGTCCGGTATCTGCTCGTGTAGCCACGTTTGTAGGGTTTAAAGCTCCTCTTCTTCATCCTCCGTTTAACCCCCGCTCTGCAGCCTCGCCGTCTCCTCCTCAGCTCCTCCGGTATGGAGGGTCTCTCTCCAGTCAGGATGCTCGGGGGCCGCAGGGCGATCATCTGGTCGCGGGTGTAAACAATGCGACTCGCCGTCGCCATGGAGACCTGTGCAAACAAAAAATAAAAAGTGCTCAAAAACGCCAAAAAACTGAGGAAACCGGAGCAGCTGAGGTGCATGGCTGTTCCTGGTCCGATGATTCAGCTGCAGGTGGTCCTAAATATTTTATTAGTGAATCTAAAATGATATAACATACAGGTATATTATCAACAATAACAATAACACTAATAATACTACAATAATACTAATAATATTACAATAATACTGATAATACTACAATAATACTAATAATATTACAATAATACTAATAATTTCTGGATTTCTAATGGACGTGCTACGGTAAGCGTACTGACTCACTTCCGGTTCACTTCCATTAGTTTTACTCGTTACAGCGGTTATTTTCCCGCTTAATATTTAAACGTAGACTAGTTCTACCTCAACACTCAGAGTTACTCCTTCTTTTAGCGACTTTTCACTACTTTAAAAGTTTTTCATGCAGGTTAGTTTCATTAGCATTAGCAGTTAGCTATGGCTTCTCCCTCTCCCTCTCCTCTGTCCTGCTCAGTGTGTCAGATGTTCAGTTATTCCTCTGCCTCCTTTAATGATAATGGTACTTGCATTAAATGTAGTTTATTTACTGCGCTGGAGGCAAGGCTTAGTGAGTTAGAGGAACGGCACCGCACCACTGAGATATCTTTAGCCGCTATAGTTAGCCAGCCCCCAGGAGCCGGTGCGGTCCGACCGAAGGTAGCTTCTGTTAGATCTGCAGATCCCCCAGTAGTTCCCCCGGTAGTTCCTCCGGTAGTTCCCCCGGTAGTTCCTCCGGTAGTTCCCGAGCAGCCGGGAAGACAGGGAGGCTGGGTGACTGAGCGAAGGAAGACTAGAACGGCGAAGCCCACAGTTCACCACCAACCCATTCACGTTTCTAATACATTTTCCCCACTCAGCGACACACCCGCTGAGGAACCAACTCTGGTTATTGGCAGCTCCATAGTCAGAAACGTGAAGTTAGTGAAGCCAGCGGCCATAGTTAAATGTATCTCTGGGGCCAGAGCGGGCGACATTGAATCAAATTTAAAACTGCTGGCTAAAGGTAAACGTAAATACAGTAAGATTGTTATCCACGTCGGCGGTAATGACACCCGTTTACGCCAATCGGAGGTCACTAAGATTAATGTGGAGTCGGTGTGTAATTATGCTAAGACAATGTCGGACACCGTAGTTTTCTCTGGACCCCTGCCCAATGTGACCAGTGATGACATGTATAGCCGCATGTTGTCATTCCACCACTGGTTGTCGAGGTGGTGTCCAGCAAACGATGTGGGCTTCATTGATAACTGGAAGCCTTTTTGGGGAAAACCTGGTCTGATTAGGAGAGACGGCATCCATCCCACTTTGGATGGAGCGGCTCTCTTATCTAGAAATATGGCGACGTTTATCTCTAAAACCTGACAGTCCAGAGTTAGGACCAGGAAGCAGAGCTGCTGTCTTACACACTTCTCTGCGCTTTCTTTAGAACAGTCACCCACCCAAAACCCCATAGAGACTGTGTCTGTCCCCCCGACCACCTAAACTATTTAAAGAAATAAAAACAAGAGGAGTTCAACATAAAAATCTAATAAAAATTAAAACCAACTCCTCAGTAGCACAAAATAAGAGAATGAAATGTGGGCTGTTGAATATCAGGTCTCTGTCCTCTAAAGCTGTTTTAGTGAATGAATTAATATCAGATTATGATATTGATTTACTTTGTCTTACTGAGACCTGGTTGTCCCACGAGGAGTATGTTAGTCTAAATGAATCCACCCCCCCCAGTCATATTAATACTCACATTCCTCGAGGTACTGGCCGAGGAGGTGGAGTGGCAGCCATATATGATTCAAGCGTTTTAATGGACCCTAAACCTAAACTAAATTATAATTCATTTGAAAGCCTTGTTCTTAGTCTTTCTCACCCGACCTGGAAAACACTGCAGCCAGTTCTATTTGTTATAGTGTACC